GGTTCTGGTTTGTTAGGGAGGCCCTGGGGACCCACACACGGATGTTCAGCATCCTGACTGTGAGCGACGCCTGCGGCGTGCATTTGACAATGGCCGTCTGACAGTGCACTTGGGCTTTGTACATGTCACCCAAGGTAAATTGCACCCACACGGCGGAGCCACAGACACAGCCTCTAGTAAAGGGTGCTCTGAAGGTATTCTATGCACACAGCCGGCCCTGAAATGGGGCTGTGACAGTGAGATGGGTGCACAGAGTCCGGGGAGATGGACACCCCCGGGACACAGGGGACAGGGCGCCTCTCACCCAGAGGCTCTGGGTGGCACGGGTGTGGTGTTCACCCTGAAAGTTCCTCGACCTCTCTGCACATTTGAAAACGTTGTTGATAAAACGCTAATGAGCAAAAACTTTGCAAGGATTGAGCCTCCTCATGTCCAGGCCTGGCTGTTTCTCCTGCCTGTGTCCTCGGGAACAGTCAGAAGGCGTTGGGCTCTTGAACAAGTGCAGGAAAAAAAGGAAGTTCATAACCGACCATTTCCAATACTCCTCAAACGGCCGGCAGTGGTAACCAGGCCAAAGGCAGGCCTCAAACGGCTGGAGTTTGACCGCAGATCTGCAACCACGGCTGTGGCCCGGAGATAAGGCGCAGAATGTGGCGCCGGGCCCTGCGGGCGTGACCCTTCTGCGCAGACAGGCCCAGGCTGGGGAGGGCACAGTCCCAGACTGACGCACGATTTCCTATCACCTGCATGTGTGTTTTATTTTGTGTTTTTTGCTCCTTTTAAAAATGACATGTTTTCATATAAGTGTATTAAATCCTTTGTTTTAAATGTACATGTCTTTATAAGAAGTAAATAAAACAAAACATTATTTTGTAATACATCCAAAGTTTTCACAAAGGGTGTGTGTTAGGAAACGAGATGGTTTCATAGTCTCATGCCTGAGTGGAACCTCTCCGCCAACCTGTTTCCCGTGCCGCGTGGCCCACTTGACTATGTTCACCAGTTTTAGCGTCATTTCTGTAGGATGTTTGTTGCTAAACATAAGAGCAATGGGTGTTCACTGAGAAAACTACACATAAATGGGCATTTTTCCAGACTTTTCTTCTGTGTGTGTTCTTAGTGTCTGTGGTTATACTACATGTAAGTGTATGTGTAAAAGATCACACTTTATATACATTTCGGTTAATATCTCTATGTAAGCATATAAATACATTCTGCTGTACTTCATTTCATAGCATTTATCTATACATTTTATTTACCATATATGTTATATTACATTTATATTATAATGAGTAATACAGTACTAAATAGTATGACAAAAATATTATATTTATTCTATACTCCTGCATCTTTTTTTTGGAACATCAGATATTTTTTAACAGCTTTTTTCAGATGGAATTCACATACTGTACAATGCACCATTTAAAGCGCACAATTCAGTCTTGTTTAGTAGAGTCACAGATGTGTGCAGTCACCACCACATCAATTTTAGGACATTTCCATCATCCCTAAGGGAGCCCCGTCCTCATGAGAGGCCCCCCAACCTCTGTCCAGCCCCCAGCACCCAGGAACCAAGCCTGTTGTGGACGATCCACAGAAATGGAGTCACACACCATGTGGCCTTGGGTGTCTGGTGTCTCACTGAGCACCGTGACCAGGGTCCGTCCACGCTGAGGTACGTGGCAGAGCTCCACTGGTTTTCATGGCTGCATGATGCTCCACATGTGGATGGACACACGTGTGTGTCCATTCACCCATCAGTGGACAGCTGGGTTGTGCCCACTGTTCGGCTGATGTGACTCATGTCGCTGGGAACATTTGTGTCCAAGTATTCAAGTCTCTACTTTTGATTCCTTCGGGTAGATTCATAGGAGTGGCATTGCTAGTCATATTGTTATTCTATATTTAGCTTTTTGAGAACCAGCCAAACCAGAATATACTCTTAAGAGAAAAAAATGTGGGTGACATATTCACTAACGGTGCCAGCTTTATAAAAACACATCAATAATAGTAAAACAAAAAATTATAAAAAACGTCTGAGGGAAAAACACTGACGTATTAAACAGCGTCTGTTTTTAGATGGGAGCATGGTGGGTGTTTTAAAACTTTTCTTTTTTGAGCTTGCCTACATTGCCTAAATGTTTGGGTTTTGCGTGTGTGTTATAAAGAATAAGTTGGCGGGAGGAGGGGGCCCAGTAAGGTGGAGGCTGCAGCCATGCTGGTGGGCAGGTTCCCCACTGGCTCCTGGGGAGGCCCTATTTGCTCGGGATTTTTTACCTGTAGTGACTCCCTCCCCAAATCCACTTCCCCTCCCCACTTGGGGGTTTCAGGATGGCCCACGCTGTCCCTTTAGACACCTGAGTGCAGGTGTTAGAATGTGCTTTGACTGCTGACAGGGGAGCTGAGATCCCCGAGACTCCCACCGGAGCAGGGGGGCAGGGTCTTGTGTTGTCACGGGAGGACCCACCTCCAGGGTGCACGAGCCCCCTGCAGCTGCTGTAACAAATGACCACGAGCTGGGCGGCTGAGGTCACCTGGAATTTATTTATCAGGTTCTGGGGGCTGTAGGGCCAGGAGCACAGCCCCGGCTTCCTGGTGCACGGACGGGCTCCGTTTCAGTGTCCTCCTGCGGTGGAAGGATCCAGGGAGCGCCCTGGAGTCTGTCTTGTAAGGGTACTCATCCCATAATGGGGACCCCCCTCATGATTACCCCCAAAAGGCCCCACCTCCTAATACCATCACCTTGGGGGTTAGATTACAGCATATACATTGTGGGGAATCTCTGGTGAACCTTATTTCCAAGGAAGGTCACATTCTAAGGTTCTGGGAGGTAGTTGGATATACTGGATTTTGGGGGGCACAATTAACCCATAACAGGGAAGGTCAGCATTCAGTAAAGGGCCTCCTGTGAGACATTGGAGGAACCAAAAAAATGGGGGACCAGGTAGTGTCAGGGTAGAGCATTGCGAATTTGAGCGAGGGTGTCTTTCCCACAGCGCTCCAAGTGCATCCCCAGTGGTATTCCCACAGGGAAGGATGCATGCCTGGGGGTGCCACTGCTCGCCGTGGCCCATTCTCAGTGCCGGTGGGATGCAACCCCTGCAATGCCTCCTCACACACCCGTTCTTGCGGAAATATCATGACAAGCCCTGTGTGCAGGAAGTACGGCCCACAGGAAGGCTCCGTTCGGAGGGCAGCGTATGTCCCATTGTGTTTTTGGCAGTTTAAATTAAGCAAGGTCTCCCCCTGGTGCTGCTGACACGGGCCAGGTGGCTCTCTGGCGGTGGCGGGGGGGGCGTCCTGGGCACTGGAGGGGCTGAGCCTGCTTGATGCCAGAGACCCCCGTGACAATCATGGATGTCCCCAGACACCCCCCCAGTGTCCCCTGGGGGCTGGATCACCCCAGCACCACCCCACGGAGAACCATAGACCTACCATTCAGAAATCACGTCCTTTTACAAATGTTTAAAGATTTGGTGCACCCAGAGTTTTTAAAAGTTCCTCAATGCTTTTGAGATCAACTTCTGAGTTTTAACTGACAGCTCACAGTAGTCACTTCATCAGGGATCTCTTTGTGCAGACGGTCCCTCTGACTGTGGCTAAATTCTTTCTGGCCACACTGTGTGCCATTTTGGTAGGTACGGATGGACTCGTGCATCCCAGGGAGGCAGGATTTTGAGATCCTGCACAAACTCACAGAGCTGGTACTGGCCACTCAACTGTGCTAAATGGAATTCTGGAATTCACAGTTGTGTAACCCTCAGATTGTCACCAATATTAAAACTATGTTTCATGGGTGAATAGGATGGTGTGTGAGTGGCACCTCATAAATGGCATTAATAAAGAAGAAAAGAAAGACAGCAGAGACGCAAACAGATATTTGCAGACCTGTGTTCAAAGCAGCACAGTTCACACCAGCCAAGAGGTGGGAACAACCCAGGTGCCCACAAGGGCATGAACAGGCACACACACGTGCCCACCCACACACGGAGCATCGTACAGCCACATAAAGGAGCAGAACCCTGCCATGCACCACACGTGGATGGATCCTGAGCACATGGTGCTCGGTGACACGCCAGACACACAGGCTACACGGTGTGACCCCATACCCGTGACGCGTCCACAGCAGGCGGGTCCACACACAGAACGTGGGCGAGTGGGGCCAAGGGCTGGGGAGGGGGTGGGAGTGCCTTCTCCTGGGAACAGGGCTTCCTTCTGGGGAGATGGACTGTTCTGGAACTAGACAGCGGTGATGGTGGCACACCTGTGTGAGTGTCCTTAAAACCACTGAATTGTTCACTTTAACATAATGATTTGTGTGGCATGTAAATTGTATCTCACTAAGGCTGTTATTTAAGAAAATGCCAAGATAAGTTCCCACACAGATGGGCTGGGTAAGGCTGGCTGGGCTGGGTGGTAGAGCATTTGATGACTGACTGAACAAAAGTGCGGATGTGTGAACAGGTGGGATGATAGAGAAGCAGCCACACTTAATCACGTTAATCTGGATCAACTCAGTTTGACCTCCCTGTCCTGCGGGGAGGAAGTGACCCCACTTTCCTGAGCCTTTCCCAGGCCAGCCAGCCTTACCCAGCCCAGATTCCCCGCTGAGGCTGGTCTCCTCCAGAAAGCCCTCCCTGATAACCCTGGGTCTGCAGGCCACTGGGTCCAGGAGCAGGGAGGCAGTTGGCTCAGCTGCTGCTGAGCCCGACGCACAGTCTGTGCACCATAAAGGCCTGACGACTGAATCCAGCAGAGGCAGCAGGCTGACCAGCCTTTGTGGGACTTGCCGCTAGGAGCCCCTGCTCTGAGGCTCAGAGAGAGAAGCACGTCCCCAGGGTCACTGGGGCCAGCCTGTGCTGAAGCGGGGGTGGGTCTCCCCACAGTGCTACCCATCCTGCTCCAAGCTGGGGGTGGGGTGGGAGGTGCCCCAGCAGCAGTCGTCGCCTGCCCTCCGCCCACTCTTGCCCTGGCCCTCAGTGATTGGCCCACGCTGCTGCCTCGGGCCACCTGTTGCTGTCTGTCCCTGGGCCACCCTCTGCGAGCTCCATCCCGTCCACCAGGCCAGCGTGGCGGCTGTGGAGTAAGTGGGTCTGGGGAGGCCTGGGCAGATGTGGGGGTCCCTTGGGCCTGGGGAGGGTATCTCTCAGGCCCACGGGAGTCCCCAGCTCTTGGGGCTGCTCCCCTACACAGCTAGAGGCGCGTGCCCCTCCCACACCGCCCTGCTCCGGCCCCAGGGAACGGCCGCCTTTCTACCCAGGGGCAGCATACACTACCACGGGCAGCCCACGGCACTGGAGACCCCGAAAGCGGGGCTTTGGTAAGCTGACAGACATGAGTCTGACCTCCGCTCTGCAAGGCCTCTGGCCAAAGGCTCCATCGGCGGCCAGTTTCCTGTCTGCCATCTGAGACCAGAGGCAGGGATCCCAATGTTGGGATGGGGAGGCCCCTGGGGACCCCTGCCCTGCCCCTGCCTTCTGGGGCTTAAGCTCTTGGATTTAAGGGTGTGGGACTGAGTCCCAAGAATGGTGCATAAGAGGGGGACCCCTTGGGGGTAAAGGCCTTGGGGGGCTGGGCTGCATGTCGGCCTATCCCAGGATAAAAATAGTCTATGTCTCAGACAACATGAGCCGGCCCTGGGGCCTGGGGTTCCGGTTTGCTGTCTTTGTCCATCTCTGTGTGTCCTTGGGTGGGTCCCAACCCTCTCTGGGCCTCAGCAGCTGTGTGCTCAGGGGCTCTGGGCTCTGGGGAGGGGTCCTGAAGTGGGCCTGGGGTCAGGGAGGGGTCCTGAGGACTGGGTGAGAGGCAGGGGCCGGCTAAGTTGTGTTCACAGAGGAGCCCCCTCCCCCGGGCCAGGCCCAGGCCCACAGCAGCAGCTCAGCACCACGAGCCTGACTCCAGACCAGCTGCTTCTCAGGCGTCTCCATGACAACCAAGGCCTTGGAAGAACTGGATGGAGGAGGTCTGGGCAGCTGCCAGGCAGGTGAGGACCTCTCTGCACTGACTGACCCCTGCCCAGGCCAACCTCAGGAGGGCAGGACTCAAGGTATGTTTGGGGGCACTGGCAGGACGAAGCCCACAGCCCCCTCCACCTGCTGGACTAGGCAGCTCACCTTCAGAGACCAGGACTTGGACCCCCACATTGGACCGGCTTAAACTAAGCTCCCCATTTCTAGCCTCTGTGCCTGTTAGTGCCCAGGGGATTGGCAAGGAGCTCAAAGAACCCAGGGACTGGGCCACGGTCTGGAGTCCCAACCCCAGCTTGGCAGGGAAGCGCCATGTGCCTTTGGGCAAGGCTGCCTCTGAGCTGTCTGCTTTTAATCAGTTAAAATATGAGCAGTCCCCTGCCCCTCACCTAGCAAAGCCCGGCAGAGGGTGGGATTGGGCTGGGGGGTCTCCACGACCTAGACTCTTTCCCACCAACAGTGACACCCAGGCTGGCCGACTCCAGCAGCTACCCTCCTGTGAGTAGCCAGGGCCCTGGGGCTGCGGCCTGGAGTTGGGGACACGGTGGCCAAGGCGGGTGCTTCTATAGCCCATGGGAAGGGTACAAGGTCCCTGAGAGGAAGGACAGGAAGGAAACACCAGGGGACTCATGACTCCCCTAGGATTCTCAGGAGCCGGTGGCTGAGGGCAGCCCCAGAGAGGACGTGGATGCCAGGCTCAAGAAGACAGAAAAGGAGCCTGTGACCAGAGAGCCCCTAGGACCTGCGAAGTTGACGCAGAGAGCAGGGGCAGGTGGGTTTGCAGAAGGCAGGGCTGAAGTTGGGGGCGGGGAGGCGGGGATATGGACCCGTAAGGGGGTGCTGGTCCTGAGTGGGTCTTTGGATATGGGAGGAGGGGGCCTTCTGGCTGAGTGGTGCCCACGTATTCCAGACAGAACCTAAAAGGGCTGCTAATTCATACCACCACCCAAGGTGCTACTGAGCCTCAGCTAAATATCTTCTAGAATATTCTCCCGGTGAAGCTGCCAAGCACGTAGAGCTTAGTTCCCAAGCCTGGGGCCGCGCAGCCAGGCAGGGCAGAGATGAGTTTAGGGCACAGAAGGGCCTACTGGTACCCGCGCCCACCCGCAGCTGTGCTCCCGCAGTGCCCCGGAGCCCTGCGCGGAAGAAGGCGCAGGCCGCCCCGCCCGCCCCGCCGCCGCCGCCGCCCGCCGCGAGCGAGGAGCTGCCCTGGGGGGAAGTGTCTCTCACCAAGTGCCTGGTGCTCGCCTCCCTCGTGGCGCTGCTGGGCTCGGCCTTCCAGCTGTGCCGCGGTGAGCCTGCGCCCCCAGAAGCGACCCCGCCCGGGAACCCACTCCTCGGGGCGGAGCGAGCAGCTCCGGGGCGGGCTTGTACGCCCCGTCCCCAGTCCCGCGTTGCTCCCGTAGCCTTGCGCGTCCCCGTTCCCCAGAGGGGTCCTTGTCCGCCCTCCCCCGCCCTGTGCCCCCGGTCCAGGAATGGACCCGGGGCGCCCTCAGGGCCCGGCCTGAGCCCTGCCTGCGGCCCTGGCGCGGCCCCTTCTCTCCGGGTGCGGACCTTGGCGCCCCTCCCTTCCCCGAGATCGGGCCCCACACCGGAGGCCAGAGAGACCCCTTCCTAGTGTGCGCCTGCCTTGTGCGCCAAGGACCCCTGAAGCCCGCGTTCTGGAGGGAAGGGGGCGCCAATGGCCACGGAGCCAGAAACTCCTTCTGAGGGCTCGGAGGGATGCGGCGCAGCCTCCGTGTGCCCGGTGGGGTCTGGCTGGGCCCCCTCCACCTGTCCACAGGGAGAGGCGCTCTGGGCTGGGGGCTGGAATGCCGGTGCGGTGGGTGTCTCGGCCCAGGCTGACTTCGCACCCGCCCTCCACACCAACCCCTGTCAGACGCTGTGGCGGGGGCGGCGGACACCCCAGCGCCTGTCCCTGAGCCGTGGGTCCCACCACGCTCAGCCCCGAAGGAGCCAGTGGAGCCCCTGGTAAGAGCTTCCTTCAAGTGACGGAGGCTGGTGAGACCCTCATTCGGGGGAAGGGGCCTGGGCCAGCGGGGCGGTTTGTCCTGGTCCGACCTCCCCACGCTGTCCCGTTGCAGCAGAAGCCAGTGGCCTGGGCGCCCCCACCACAGCCGCCTGCGCCCCAGGCAGAGGCAGAGGCTAGGGGCAAGGTCCCAGGCAGCGGGGAGGAGTGCCCACCTCTTACCAACCGCGGGCCCAAGGAGAGGCCGCTGAAGAAGGAGAGGCCACGGAGGGAGAGGCCTCGGAGGGAAGAGAAGCCACGGAGGGCCGAGAAGCCACGGGCTGCCGGGGAGCCCCGGGGAGCCCTACCCCGGCGCGGGGAGACCCGCGAAGGGGGCCATCGGCCGTGGGCGCGGGACTCCGGAGACTCTGAGAACAGGAAGAGGCAGGCCTGGGACTCCCCGAGGCGCCCCAACGAGGAGGACCGGCCGCCGGGACGCCTGAAGCATCGCGTAGGCAAGGGGAGGGACTAAGTAGGACCTGGGTTCAGGAATCCCCGTGGCCCCGAGGTTGCAGTGAAATAAAGGGAATACTGCAGCCCCGCGTCGCCTGCTCCTCAGGTGCCCCGGCCTGAATGACTGGGATGGGAGCTCGAGAAGGGTGGAGGTAGTGGGTGCCGCTGGGGATGACCCACTGGGCTCTGAGCATGGGAGATGAGCTGGCACAAGGGGACCCTCACCTGCCCCAAACACGCACGGACACCCCAGCCGGGTGCTGCTGGTCTTTATTGGGGGCAGTGCTTGGGGTCTGAATAAATATGGGCAGGGATGCCGCTGGGGCCCGGCGCAGGGGTCACCGGCAGCCGCACTCCGTGGCCACCATGTTGGGCACGTGGTGCGCGCTGATGCGCTCCTCGGACAGGCTGATGAGGAGTTTGCCCGTGTAGGCCGTGGGCACGCAGCAGGGCGGGCGCGCCAGGGCGGTGCCGCGGGCCTGCATCTTAAGCAGCAGCACCACGTGATTGCCGTAGCGCGGGTTGCGGTCGGACTGCGGCCAGCCGCACGCGCCCTGGCAGTTGTTGGCTTGGTAGGTCTCGGGGATGAGCACCGAGCGCTCGGCGCGCAGGTCCACGCTCAGCTCGCGCAGCGCGCACGGCCCGTCAGCAGCCCCGGCACCCGCGCTGCGCTGCGCCCGCCCACCCCGCTCACGCCCGCGCCACTCGGCGCGCAGGCCCTGGAGCGCCTTCAACAGCAGCAGCGCGCGCAACGGGCCGCCCAGGCCGTCCGGGTCCCCCGGGCACAGCGTGAGCAGGCGCGCCAGCAGCGGCGTGGCGGCGGGCGGCAGCCCCGGGAGGCCTCGCAGCTCGGCGGCCGCGGCCTGCAGCTCGGCGGCCACACGGCGCGCCAAGCCCACGGCCCACGGCGCGGACGGGGGGCCCTGCAGTGTCGCGGGGTCCCCGACAGTGGCCGCGGCGGGCGACAGCAGCAGAAGCGGCTCCTCGCTGTCGAGCAGGCGCTCCAGCGCCGCGGGGTCCGACAGGTTGACCAGGCCCTGCGGGAAGCCTGCCAGCGCGCCTGGGTCCAGGGCCAGGCGCGGCGGCGAGGCCCGGTCCGGGGCCCCCCGCAGCGTGCGCACTAAGCGCGTGAGCGTCTCCAGGAAGGGGTCGGTGCTGGCCGGCGGCTCCTCAGGTTCTGGGGACGACCTGGAGGAGATGCGAGGCGAGAGGGGCGGTGTGGGCGGGCGCAGGACGGCGCGGCCCCACCTGCCCGGCCGGGGCCTGCGCACACCTGGGCGGTGGGAAAGGCACGGTGTCCAGCCGGCCGTGCGCGGGCAGTGGCTCCGGCCCGGGCTGCCCCAGCAGCAGCAGCAGCGCTGGGGTCCTCCGCGTGAAGCAGCGGCGGTCGGCTCCGAAAAGCATTTCCTGCAGCTGGGCGGCGCTCAGGGCGCCACCTGCATGACGGGGCGCGGAGTGGGGAGGCTCAGTCTGGAGGCCAGGGCTGCGGGCCCCACGCCCACCCCTCTCCGGGCAGGCCTACCGTCTCCTCGGGTCCACAGGGTCAAGGCGAGCCCAGCGCTGCCCCACGCCCCCGCTGGGTGGTTCACCACTAGTGCCGAGTAGCGGGTGTCCGGGGACAGGCAGAGATTCTGCAGAGACGCGGGCTCAGCCCAGCTGGGCAGGGACACAGGTCGTCCTCCCTGCTCCCCCGCTGCCCTTGACACCCCTTCAAGGTTCCCACTTGGACATCTGGAGTCTCCTGTAACCCCTCCCCGCATCCCTGACCCTGCCATGTGTGGAGGTTCCAGGGAACTGTCCCATTCAACTCCGTGGTACCTGGGCACCCAGCAAACCAGCCCCCGTGACAGTGACCTGGGGGCCAGGCCCGGGGTACAGCACCAGCAGTGCCAGCTCTGGGCGGGCTCCTCCAGGTGGGGGCTCCTGGAACCTCAGCGAGGGTGTTGGTTCCCATGTCACTGCAGCCAGGACAACAGGGAAAAGGGTGACGCCTGAGCCACTAAGGTCCCAGCTCTCCCCGTATCTGTCCTGCAGAGGGCACTGTCACCCAACTGGGAGCCTTGGGGACCTAGTGGGAGAGGTTTGATACCCTTTGACAGCAGGTACAGGACCTCACGGGGACACGGGCAGCCCTGGGGTGGCCAACAGCAGCCACTGAGCCCTTGGTGTCTCTGGATCTGGGGAGCTCCTGGTAGAAGGCCCATGAGGGTCACTGGGAAGCCCCCCACCCCACAGTAGGTAAGGCCAGTGGTTCAGGGCAGGCAACTCCACCTGTGGCTGCCTGGTGTTGGGGGCCCTCCGTAGCCAGACCTGCATTTGTGCTGGCAGCTGGGCACTGGGACTCCAGAGCCCAGACCCAACAGGTAAGGACACCCCCTCCCAGGCCCTTGGCTTCACCTCCCCTGAGGCTGAGAGATCTGGGTGGGGGCCTGCCAACTGTCTTCCAATTTGGGAGATGGGAGCCAGGTTCCTTCCCCAGTTCCAAGCTGCGGCCCCCCACATACCTTCCTCCAGGTGCAGGACCAGCAGCTGCTGCCCCCCGGGCTCCTGCAGCCAGGCTTGCAGCTGCTGCAGAGGGGGTAGGGCAGCCTGCCTTTCACTGGGGGCACAAACCCCAAAGGTGGCCAGGTCATGGGGGCTCCAGTGAGCATGGTGCACGGCCTCTAGGAAGGCCTGCTCATAGCTGCTCAGGGCCCCCACCACTCGCAGGGGGGCACTGCTCCTGTTACCATGCCCATCCAGCATCACCAAGCACTGGGGGTCCCGCAGGCTGCCTGGTAGCCACACATCTTGGGGTAGCCAGTTCCAATCTAGGTGGAAGATGAGACCCCCAGATCCTGTGGCTGGCTCCCTAGGCAAGGCCGGGGTGCTGGAGACCTCTTCTCCGGGGGTCCCAGTCATCAGCAGAGGCAAAATCACCGAAAGCACCAGGGCCGACGGAGGGAGCAGCAGACCCCACATCCTGGGGCTCCCGGGGCTGGGAGGGCCTGGCTTATAAGGGTGAGCCTGGGATGTTTGTGCGGCAGGCAGCACTATCTCCTCCTGGGACTTGACCTTGGGGGCCAGGGCCCTGCTGGGAGCCAAGTCGTCTCAAAGCCCCCTCTGTCCCAGCCTGGCTGCCTATCTGCTGCTGACCAGATATAAAATGCGGCCTGTGCCGCTCTGTCTGACAACTGTCCTTGGCCAGCTTTCTCCTCCAGAGGCGGGAGTGGGAACATAAGCAGGGAGTGACCTGCCCAGACTATCAACAGCTCTCGGGAGGAGGGCAGAGGTGCAGAGGCCCCCTGAACACCCAGGCCCAAAGGCAGACCCCATGACTCAGTGTTCAGATCCAAGGAGGGCCCAGCCAGAGAATCTCCCCACGTTCCCCCAACTTGGGGGCAGCAGAGCACGGGCACCTCGGCCTGGAGCCCCAGCACAGGGAGCAGTTTTTACCTGGCTCTCCGCCCAGGGGACAGACCCCAGACTCACTGCAGGCTGGCAGGCCCTTTCCTCTATCCAGCCACCTCCAGGGGGCAGCTGCCACAATAGGCCACCGTGTCCTGACAGTCCCCAGGGTCACCCAATGCCCCCTGAGCCCCAGGACATGGAGGGGCTCCCCAGGGATGGCCACGCCCACCTGCCCAGCGACTCACTCCAGGTGTTGGGGTGCTGTTTAATGAGCTCTGGGGACACGGCCCAGCCCTGTACAGAATCACCAAACTTGGTTCAGCAGACAAATACAGGAAAACACACACAGACCTGCCCTGAAGGGCGGCAGCTTTTCAGTTGGCTGGGGGAGGGGGGGGAATGTTCCCAGGGCCTTCGGAGGGCAATGGGGGTCTCAGCATTGGGGGCATAGGAGTTGGGGGGTGTACCCCAGGATTTGAGGGGTGAACTCCAGGAGGCTGGGGGTGGACCCCAGGAGCTGGAGGATGGACTCCAGGGGCTGATGGGTGGACCCCAGGAGGTGGGGGGTGAACCCCAGGAGGCTGGGGGTGGATCCCTGGGGCTGGGGGATGAACCCCAGGAGCTGGAGGGTGGACCCCCGGGGCCTGTGGGTGAACTGCAGGAGCTGGTGGGTGCACCCCTGGGGCCTGGGGGTGAACCCCGGATGGTGGAGGATGGACCCCTGGAGCGGGTGGGTGGACCCCCGGGGTTGGAGGGTGGACCCCCGGAGCAGGGGGGTGGACCCCAGATGTGGGTGGGTGACCCACAGGAGCTGGGGGGTGGACCCCGGGAGCAGGGGGATGGACCCCGGGAGCTGGGGGGTGGACCCCAGATGTGGGTGGGTGGCCCACGGGGGCTGGGGGGTGGACCCCGGGTGCTGGGGGGGGCAGCTGGGGAGGGCCCGGGGGCCCCGAGGGTGCAGGCCCACTGGGCGGCATGGGAGGCAGAGGCATGCCCCCTGGCGGGGGTGGGGGCAGGGCCTCGGGCAGCGGGGGCCTCGGGGGCAGACCATTCATCAGTGGGGGTGGGGGCCGCTTCACCCCCGGGGGCCCGGCGGGGAGGCTCGGAGGGGCCGGCGGCTTCTCCATCTTGAAGTGGAACTGGAGGAAGAACTGAGGGGCGGGGAGAGGGCTGAGCATCCCGGGCCCCGGGGGGCAGCCCCAGGCCAACCAGGCTGAGGGACATACCTGCTTCGTCTCCCGGTTCCAGTGTGTCCAGAACCTGCCCTCGGCCTTGTCGATCTCCCTGCTGGGGACCTATGTGGCCGGGCGGGGAGGTCGGGGGGCTTCAGGGCCGCGAGGGCTGGCGCCCGGGCCCTGGGAAGCCCTCTTGCGGGGAAGCACGTTTGGCTCCTGGGGAGCGCGTGCGGCTCGTGTTCCAGCCCTGGGGCCCAGGCTGGAGCCGTGACAGCTGTCCGCGCGGGCGGCGGAGCTACAGGACCCCCGAAGAGGCCGGTGGCCGAGCTGTTTTTACTGCTGGGGCTGTGCTGACATCCCTGCTTCCAGTGGGCGCCCACCTCAGGACCCCCGGGCCATGCTTCCCGCCCTCCCCTGCTGAGGGGCTGCGTGAGTGGGCCGCAGACCCGGCGCTACCTTGAAGGCGATGGTCTCGTACGGCTCGGCGGCCATCAGCAGGTACTGCCAGCGCCGGTCCGGGGGCTCAATCCTCTGCTCGTAGGCAGACATGAAGCGGTGGCGGGGCATGATGCCCTCGGCGATCTCGGGGTAGTCGATCTGTGGGGACACAGCCAGTGGTGGCACCGCCTCTTAGGGGCCCCTCCCTCCCCACCAGACCCTTGCTCACCTGGAAGAGGAGGCTCTGCTGGCCCATCTCCGTGTCCCTCTGCTTGGTCACTGCAACACACACGGGTCCAGAGTCCAGGGCCCAGCACCACCCATCACAGGAGGGTGGGGCACTGGGGCATCATGGGATCAGCACCCCGGTGCCATCCGCAGCAGCACGGGTGTGTCCAGGGAGGGGGGTGCTCTGTGCCGCATGGAGGCCCCAGCGTCCTCACCCCAGAGATCTGGAGCCGAGTAAGGGCTGAGAACTAGGGGCAGTGAGCACGACCTGGGCCCAAGCTCCCAGGGGAGGGCATCCCTGCATCAGGCCCAAGCCTCTGGCATCCTGCGGTCAGTCCTGCAAGCCCTCCTGCATCTGCAGCAACACTCGGCCTAGAAACCATCTAGCGGGTCGCGGCCAAGAGGCCTTCCCTCTGGGGGCTCCCCCACGGGGGTCGTGCTGTCCCAGCCCCAGTTCTGTCGGGAGGCCTACCCTGGGGTCTCTGCACTGCCGTGCCCCATGTGGAATGCCAGCCACACACAGGACGACCCCACCTTTTGTCACAGTCCCACATATTCCATCTGGGCCCCTTGCCAGCTTTCTGCAGCCATGCTTCCCGCCAAGGGCTCCACTGAGCCAGCCGTGCGTCCCCCAGCAGCAGCTCCCGGCTCAAAGGACAGGGGCCCCTCCACGCTCCCACTCACCGCACTAGGAGGCACAGGGAGGAATCCGGCTGGGAATGGAGACCACCCCCGACAGGCCAGGTGGCTCCAGGAACGGGGAGCGAGCAGGAGAGCTGGAGCCAGTCAGGTCCAAGAACAGCATGTGTGGCTCAGGGCCGGGGTCCCGGGGACAGACTCACCTTTGTAGCCAGGGCGGCCGATCTTCACGAACTTCTTCACCTCCACCTTGACCTTCTCTGGCGCCGGCTGGGCCGGGGCCTCCTTGGCCTCCTTGGCTGCTCGCCGGGCCCTGCAGGTGGGCGGCATGTGCTGCTGTGGCCCTTCCACACAGGCCACCGAGGCCGCGGCCCAGGTGCTGGGAGCCGTGCCCCCCGCACCCTGACCTTGGGGCTTGTCTGAGTGGGGGTGGAGACAGACCGGCACCTTCCTCTCCCTGCCACTTCCCGCTGCCCCTGCCTCTCCTCCCCCTGGCAGAAGCCTCGCTCTGCAAGGTCAGCCAGCTTCAGTGCTGGCAAGGGCGCACCGGCCCCACGTCGGGGGCGGGCGGCTTCAGCCCCAGCGTGGCTCAGACGCGTGAGCAGCAGCTTGCCCCAGGCTTGGCCCTGGCCCAGGAAGGGGCGCAGGCACTCACAGGTTAGTCTGGTGCTTCTTTCCCTGGGTGTGCGCAAGGTAGCTGCCCTGTAGCCGGAAGAGGACACACACGGTTAAGACGGGTGCGCAGGGCCTGGGGACTTCTTGACTCGAGACAGAAAGCTGCGTGGGGTCAGCACAGGGTACGTGATGTGCACTCAGAGCAAGACAGGACGGGCCTCAAAATGTCCACTTGGGAGTGCATGGGACACAGTCTCATCCACGGTTGGGGGCTGCAAGTGGACTGTGCTGGGCTGTGGACACTGCATGGCAAGAGCTACCAGCCCAACAAGCAGACATTCCCCCTAGGCCACCTCTCCCGTGTGGGCAGAATGAAGTGTACCCATTAGTGTTTCTCAACTGGGGGTTTTTCTGCCCCTCTGGGGACACTGGGCAATATCTGGGTGCATCTGTGGCTGTCATGACTTGGGGTGGGGGCCAGGAAGGCTGCTTAGCTCCTTGTAGTGCCCAGGACAGCCTCCCCTCCAAACCCCCGCTGGGAATGTCCTGGCCTGACAGCTGCAGGACTGGGGGAAACCCTAAATATATGCCGTTTGGCTCAAGAGCGTTAGTAATTGTGAATAAACCAGGAAACTTCCAGGCGGACAACATGGAAAAGGACAGATGAACTCTAGCAACACTGAGCAGGTTGGCCAACAGGCACACTTGTCAGGCTATCGTCTGGACAACCTCACAGTTGCCAAAGGACCAAACGGCAGCCACACTGCCCACACCTCAAAACCCTGACGCAGGACGTCCCGCTATGCCCGCCCGACGCTCACTGATGCACGCTGACACAGCCCCAGTGCCAGCACTAAAGGGCACTTGGTACGTCCACAGCAGTGGTGGCCTCCAGGGCCAAGGGCCTGGCCTCACGTGGAGTGACCAGGGTCTCTCTGGGAAGATGCCATGCTGGGCAGCCGGTGGTTGATCATGAGCAGCGGGCCCAGTCAGCGTCCCCCCACCCTTGGCTGTGTCCTGCACGTCTCCGAGTGACGATGAAGACGGGGCGGGAGCTGCGTGCTCCTCGGCCCGGCCGGGGCGTCTCACCTCGTTGTTGTGGAGTGTCAGGCACAGCTTGCACTCGTAGGAGCCCAGGTGGTTCTTCATGAAGTAGGGGTCCTGTGGGGGGAGACGGCCCATGAGATGGCGGACGGCGCCCTGTGGCCCTGCCAGCCTACACTCGGTGAGGGCCTTCCTGGAGAAGCCCAGCTTTCCCACGGCTGGCGCAGGGAGGCGGGCCGCCTTCCTTCTGGGCAGACAGTCCACGGTCAGAGGACTATGGCAGCGCTGCAGGACTGTCTGGGTGCCTGGGCAGGCGCAGCCATGCAGCGACAAGCCCCCACAGGGGATGGGGAGCGGCAAGGCCTGAGGGGGAGCCTGGTCCCGCACCCACGGGAGTTTTGGGCCCTGAAGGCAGAGGCAAAACAGCACTGCTGACTGCCCATCGGCCGCGCCAGCGCCCCACGTGGCCCCACACAGGGCAGACACGGGCAGAGGTCACGTCTTCGCACCCCGGGAAGCCGGCCAGGTGGGACGTGCAGAACCAGCTACAGGCTGGGTTCAGCTCATCAGCATCGGCAACGGCAATGCCCGTGCACTGGAACACGGGGACAGTAAGGCTTACAGGTGAAGCCCCGATCCTCAGGGCCCTCTAGGGAGAACCACACAGTGACCACGGGAACACACACGGGTGGCTCTGTCCCAGGGAACACTGGGCCACGTCTGGGGACATCTGTGGTTGTCGCAACTGGGGCTGCTCCTGTCATCTGGTGGGGGGCGCCAGAGATGCTGCCCACTCCCCAGGATGTCCCGAATGTTCACGATGTCAAGGGGGAGCCCTGGACCCACCAGAGCTCCGTGTAGCCACAATAAAAGGCTGTCTGCACTACGTGTGCTGGGATGATACCAACCCCCGCGACACCACTGTGGCCCTCGGCATGGGCAACTGCCCCCGCACACCACCAAAAACCCTCGCCCCGTAAAAGCCCCTGAAACATGGGGTCGACAGCTGACGGTCTCAGGCAGACAGCTGAGTGGGTGCTCTAGGTCCAGTGCCCGCACATCCCCACAAGGACCCCAAGGCCCAGAGGGGCACCAAGCAGCCGCCCGCCCAGCCCACCTTGTTGATGTCAATGGTTTCCAGGGCCAGCTGCCGGAGGCGCTCCCGGCGGTCCCGGTTGCTCTCGGAGGAGGAGGCCACGCCTCCACTCCCGGTCTTGCCCCCAGGGCGGTGCTGGAAGTCCATAGCGGGGGCCGCGGGGCTCTACCAACTGCCGGAGGAACCTGAGGCAGAGAAAAAGATGGCCATCACAGGGGCCTCCCCGGGCCTGGCGGCGCCCCCACCATCTCTCACCCCTCAGCCTGGGCTCCTGCCCTCACCTCTGGATGCTGAGTCTGAGATGCCTCGTCCCACTGCAGCTCTCCTGCTAGGTGGGGGCCTCAGGAGTCTGACAGCCCAGAGACCAGAACCTGCAAGTGGGAAGATCAGGCCAAGTTCTCACTAACAGGTCTTGCCTCCTCCAGGACGCCTTCCCAGAGTGCCCAAGGCCTGGGCGTTCTCCTCCTCCTCCTCTGAATGCCCTCTCTTCTCCTCTGCTTTCATTGGTCTCACCCTAAATTCTACTTCTCTGGCTCGGCTATAAATTTACTGGAAGCAAGGAAGGCATCCATGCATCTGTCCCTACTCCCTAACAAAGAGAAGGTTCTCAAGACCAGTTTATGGCGGGGGACAGACACCCTCTTCCACTCCCTCCCACCAGCCCAGGCACCGGGCCTCCGGACGCCTCCAGGCTCTTCTCTCTGCTTTAACACTCCCCATCCTGACGAGTCAGTGCTGGCTCCAGGCCAACACTGGTTTAAACCCAGTTTCTTGTCTCTGTTGGGCTGAGCTCAGAGCAATGAAGCCCAAAAACGTGACCCCACAAAGATGTTCACATTCGCATCCCAGGACCCAAGGACGTGTACGTTCACATGGCAGAGGGACTGTGCAGAGAGGATTGGTCAAGGCACCGGAGATGGGGGTGCCCCTGGATTGCCAGGGCCCAGGGTCCTCACGAGGGTCCCTATGAGGGGGGCAGGAGGTCAGGATCAGAGAGATGGGAAGGCGTGGCCCTGCCGGCAGTGCAGACGGAGGAGGGGCCCCCCGAGGAGAGGCTGCGGTGCCTCTAGAAGCTGGAAGAGGAGGATATGGTTCTCCCGGGGCCCCCAACCCTGCCCACCTGGATTTAGGACTCTGACCTTCGGAAATGCATAATAATAAGACTGTGTCATTTAAAGCAGTACATTTGTGGTGATTTGCTACAGTGGCTGCAGGAAACTGAATATCAGGGCAGGCACAGGCTGGGTGGCTGGGGAACATGCCCCGCAGGTGGCCCAGCAAGTGCCTGCTGAGAGAATCTGACTGGCTCAGGAAGGCCCACACACACACCGCTCACCAAATCAGACCCCAGACCCACAAGCACCCGAAGCAGAAACTGCTGGTTACTTGAGGCCCAGGGCACAAGCGTTACCGTCCCCTGGCAGCATCGCCACTTGACCGAAGACGGAGCTCACACCTGACAGGAAGGTCACATGTCCAGGTGCCCTCGACTCCCCGGGCAAGTCAGAACTTTATTCTCAGAATCGGAGTCCTCTGGGCTTAGGCAAGTGCGGTAGGACCAGAGAGACTGGGGGTGAGGGCCAGGCTAAGGAGGGGGATTCCATCTAAACCTACCCACCAACAGCAGGTAGCCTGCTCCGCGCCCACTCTGGGTCCAGCAGGCAGAGGCCCAGGCTGAGATCAGGAGGCTTTTTGGGGGAAAGGGCGCCTGGAGAAGTATCCCAGATACTAACAGTTTGGGCCCTCCGTGCCCCAAAGAAACCACCAGCACCTTGCTAGGCCCCCCAAGCGGCAGGACTCTCCAGATGAGCAGCACGGCCCCCACATGCAACTTAACATGAACACACAAGAACACCACGTGCCTGAGACAAAGGAAACCTAGCGGACACCTTAATAGATGTCACCACACCCCTAGACTAACAGAGAAGTCACTGCACTGTGGAATGAGGACAGGGAGCCACAGGTGAGCAAGGCTAATTAAAACAAGACCAGACCCTCGGAAAGTAAAGACACAGAGACCCAAACAAAAGACAACACGAGAGCTCAGAGATGAGTCAAATCTTCCACAGAGGATTAAAAATTGAAAGAAGGAAAGAAAAAAAAAAAGCCAAATTAAGAACCTGGATGAAATTCCAGGGGGAGAACAGGAAGAAATGAGACCTACCAAACAAATGAACGTCACCAAAGCAGCAATGTAAAACACGCTAGAACCGAAAGGACCCTATTTTTCAGAGACAAGCAAGTGAAAAGACCCTCAATACAGATAGATCATGAAACTTTATGACACCACAGTAAACCTTCAGTTTCTACCAGACAGAAAGGGGATTAGAAACAAATGGTCAGAAACCAGAATGGGACCTAACCTTTCAGAACAGCACTGAAAACCAAAGACAAGAACCCCTCCCTGTTCTCAGTAGGAATTTCTCAATCTAGAACAAGTACACCTCATCTTCTGTGTGGCAAAATACACCCATTTCAGTTAACCAAGGTTCCAAACAGATCACTTGATTTCTTCAACAGCTACTGGAAGATACTCTCTGATGTGATGCGGGAGGAAGAGACAGTCAGATTGAAAACAGAAGCCAACCCAGGAGAGCAGACAGAAAGTTCCTGGACAACCCGGTCTGCTGCAAGGCGAGCAACCAGTCCCACCTGGAGCAGGAGCCTGCCAGGGTCCGAGAGAGACAGACCAATGGAAAAATACCAGAGATCGGTGTGTGGGGTGCTGGGGCTTTGCACACAGAGGAACAGGCAGACAGGATCAACTAAAAGGAAAAATAAACGAATTGGCTTTTGAGAGAAAAAAAGAACAGTGGAAGGAAAACAAAACAAGCTGATGAGGTACCTGCCTCAGCAGCGAAATAGGTTGACTAACGGTTTGGCTAAGGGTGGTGCCGTGCAGAGTGTGGAGGGTAGGAGGCGGAAAGGAAACCTCACCGACCACGACGTGAAGTCAGTAGATCGCGTCTAGTAACACCGACACCTCCAGGGGAACGGCGCTGTTTTAAATATAAAGGCTGCAAGAGCGAAGAGGCTGTCTCTGAGGCCCAGCCTCCTCCAGGAAGCCTTCCCAGACTGCCCAAGGCCTGGGCGTTCTCCTCTTTCTCTGAATGCCCTCTCTACTCCTCTGCATTCACTGCTCTCAAACTAAATTCTACTTCTCTGTCTCGGCTGTAAATTTATTGGAAGCACCGCCCTCTCCCTAAGCCTGCAAAGCAGATTCTTGTCTCGAGTCCCCCCTCGGCCTCCCGGAGGCGACGGAGGGCAGAAGCGAGAAGCCCCCGGAGATGCCGGCCCCGGGCATCCAAGCGCTCGCGAACCGGTGCCGGCGGTCGCCGGGGCGCAGCGCGGAGCACACCGCCCCCCAGGGGGTCTCCGGGGAGTCCCGAGGCACGCGGCGTCAGGGCGCTGGGGGCCCGCCCGAACGCCAGCCCGGCCTTCTCTGCGGAGGGGCAACACGGCCGCCCGCCCTCCGGTTGCGCCCCCCATCGCAGGCGCCCTTCGCCACAACCCAGGACCCCGCGGCCGCCGCCCCACCCGCGGTCCTCACCCACACCCGTCGCCGCGCTACAATCTCCTTTTCGGTCGTCGCCGCCACGACTGTTCTGCGCACGCGCACAATGGAGAAAAAAAAAGCACTTCCGGGGGAAATAAGCGCAGGGTCTCCGTGTACGCATGCCCGGCTCTTTCAGGGCGCCGATGAACCGATCCGGAGGCGCGAAGAAAAGGGGCGGGGCTGAGAGTGCGGGCCGGAAGCCGCTGTGCGCGTGAGCACCAGGCTCCCAACGCTCTCTCGCGCGGAGCCAATTCTCGCCCGAGGGCAGGCTGCGGATGTCCCACCTCCGACGGCTCCTGGTTCCTACGGTCAAGGACGCTTCGGGTGTGGGGATGCTCTACCCTGTTTCCACCCCGGGTCCACCTTATTGCTTGGCTGTGTATAACAACAGGCCGCCTCGTCCACCCTCCCGTGCGTCCCAGGAGAGCTTCGTAGGCCCCGGAACGTTGGCGCCTTGCGCAGGTGATCGACAGGATGAGCGGCTCGGGTCGCGCAGGCGCAGTAGCTCCAGCATAGCTTCCGGGACGACGCCGTAGGACTTCTTTGGCGCGGGCAGCAGGGACGGCGGCCGGGAGGGCGCGACCTCGCGCTCCGCTTTCCGGGACTCGGCGGCGCCATGCGTTACAACGAGAAGGAGCTGCAGGCGCTGTCCCGGCAGCCGGCCGAGCTTGCGGCCGAGCTGGGCATGCGGGGGCCCAGGAAGGGCAGCGGTGAGCAGGCCGGGGCACCGGGTGGGCGGCGGGCGGGCGGGCGGGGGAGGGCGGCCTTGAGCCGCCGAGCCCGCGCGAGCCCGCCCTGTGCCCGCAGTCGTGAAGCGGCGGCTGCTGAAGCTGGTGGTCAACTTCCTCTTCTACTTCCGGACGGATGAGGCCGAGGTAGAACGGCGGGGATGGCTGGGGCCGAGGGTCCCGGGGTGTGGCTGGGGCTGGGGCTGGGGTCTCGGGGCTGGAGGGCAGACGGCAGGGTCCTGGGGTTGGGCTGGGTCGGTTTCTGGGGCTGGGGTCTCCGCAGCGGCCCGCCCCCATCCGCCCTCGTTTGCCCCCAGCCCGTGGGCGCCTTACTGCTGGAGCACTGCAGGATCACCCAGGAAGAGCCGAGCGGCTTCTCCATCAGTGAGTGCAGGGATGGGCCTGCGGCGACCCCCCAAAACAAAGCTCACTGTCCCGAGCAGCCCCACTCGGGCTGGCCTCCTCGCCGAAGGGGCTCAGGCAGTGTGCACCTGTCCAAGTCACTTTCTAGCCGTCACCCCCCAGCCACCAGCACTTTCTACCCTGATGGGGAGCACTGCCTTCTCAGGGCGCCCTGCTGTCATTGTACCCGTCCTCAGTGCCGGGTCGTGTGCTGGGGAGTCTGGAGAGTCCCCGTGGGCTAACTTGAGAGGGTGGGGGGTGGTCTGTGGAGCAGGCAGAGTCCTGTAATGATTTTTCAGGGCAGCTGTAGCAAAGTGCCACAGACAGGAGCCTAGACAGCAGACGTTTCTTTCTTTGGCATTTGGAGGTGGGAATCTGGGATCAGGATGTGAAACGGGGGTGGTTCCTTCTGATAGGGAATCTGTCCCCGGCTCTCTCCCAGCCTTCAGGTGCCACCAGCAACGCTTGTCCTGTGGAAGCATCACTGCATTTCTGCTTCAGCTGTCATGTGACTCCCTGCATGTTTGCTTCCCAGCATGCCCTCTTTATAACGACTTTTGGTCCTATTGGGTTAGAACTCTCCTATTTCAGTGTGATCTCACCTCAGTTATACCTATGATGAAAATCATACTCGGGGTTTCGAGAGCTAGGACTTGAATATATCCTTTTAGGGACACAGTTCAACCCACAGCTGGCGAGGATGGATGAGTCTGTGCTGGGGCCAGAGGAGGGGACAGTTGTGGCCAGCGGTAACAGGAGGCTGAGCTTTCTGGGGGGCCGGGTGTGGGAGTCAGTGGGGACAGACTGGGGCCGCTCCCTCTGCAGGCTTTCTGGAGGACCCAGAGAGGAAGTACCACTTCGAGTGCTGCAGTGAAGAACAGTGTCAGGAGTGGATGGGGGCTCTGCGTCGAGCCAGGTTGGGTACTGGCTGGCCTGGGGGACTGGAGGGCAGGACAGAGCGGGCCCTGTGAGCCCACACCACTTTCCTCCCCAGCTACGAGTTCATGCGGAGGAGCCTCATCTTCTACAGGAACGAGATCCGGAAGATGACCGGCAAGGTACATCCCAGGCTTGAGATGGGGGTGCAGGGTGGCCGTGCATATGGCCTCCAGGGACCTCTAGCTCATGTGCCCCCCTCCACCCACACAGGATCCCCTGGAACAGTTTGGCATATCCGAGGAGGCCAGGTTCCAGCTCAGCAGCTTGAAGGCATGATGAGTCTGGGGGCCGGGCTCAGCTTTCCCACTGTGGCTGGAATGAGCCCTCCCCACCCTTGCCAGGCCCTGGGTTTCCTGGCTGACCCTGGATCTGTGTTGAGAGGTGTTTGGCCGTAAAAATTTCAAGAGCCTGAGGCTGGTGGAGTTGGGCAGGGACTCCCTTTATGGAAGCACCACCCAGCAAGCCCCCCTCCCTGTGTCTCTGGACCCACTGGACTGGGCTCACACCTTTTGGTGCCACACACGTGTGCCAGGAGCTGTGCCTGGCGGCTGCTGTGCCATCCAAATACACAAAGCCAGATGATGCTGTGAAGGGCATGGGCCCTGCCTCCTGGGTCATGCCCCACCTGGTGGTGGGGCCACAGTGCCTCCCCTAGAGGAGCATTTGCTTATTGTTAAAATAAAGTACCTCTTTTCCACACAGGGTGGCAGTGCGGCGAGTGAGGGGAGGGATGTTCACCATGCACAGGCTGGGCACCCAGGCAATCAGAGCTGGCTCCCAGGAGGGTGGGAGGGGGACAAGGGTCTTCTCTGGGCTCAAGGTCTAAGTGTCTGAGAGGACGGGGCTGGGTTGCCTGGGTAGAGGGGAGGAGCCCTAGAGCCACAGCCAGGAAAGGCGGGCTGGTGCTCACAGGCCCTGGGGGAGAACAAGGGGCATGATCCCCCAGCTTACGGGACCCCTGTGAGTGCAGCCGCGACTTTGGGAAGGGGAGGGTTTTGCCCATGGTGTTAGTTTCCCCGAGTGGGGCCCATCCTGGGTGGGCCTGATTTAGTCGGGAGCTGGGTGCTTGGGTCTGCTGTGGCCAGTGGCTGCCTTTGGGTACACATGGGAATTCTGGGGTAACTGTCATCCCCACTTGGGGGACAATGAGTGCAGCCTGGGGCTGCCTAGGTTCTGAGCCCCTGCTGTGTTATAACCAGAAAAAATGCTTTACGAGACCAGGTTCAAGTGAAACGGTATTTTATTACAGAGGTGGAAATGCAGAGTGGAGTGGGATTCACTCAGGAAATGAGGGTCAGGCCAGCAGCCCGAAGAGGGACAGGCCATGCCAGCGCCCCCGACTCAGTTAACCAGAGGGTGAGGCCAAAGCCCCGCCAAGTTACAAATTAAGGTCTAGACACGAGACAACAGTGTGGATGGACCCAGAGAATGGGAATGGCAGCTGCGAGAAACCAACTCCTAGCGGACCGGCGTGGATAAATAAGGGGGCGAGTGAGTCTTAAATAAGTCACAGTTCATAGCTGGGAGGAAAGGCCAGCTCCTGACTAGAGGGTCATCTTAGCTGTTAGGTTTTCCTGAGCAGAGCGACCAGAAGTAGCCCGCAGCCAACGGCAGCACCAGGGGTCTGTCTGCAGGGCCTCCCACCTTCCCCACAGCAGCCTGTCTGCAGGCAGCAGCTGATCTCAGAAGGGCCTGGGGACACAGATGGAGGGCAAGGGTGGGTGCAGAAAGGAGACCCCTGCCCTAAACGGGCCAGCTCAGCCCACTGTCACCCTGGGGTGTGCCTGCAGACAGCTGAGCTGGTAGGACAGATAGGCACGTCAGCAGGAGTCCTGCATGAGTGGCCGTGGTCACCCCAAGGAGGGGTGTGTACAGGGTTTGATTTGCTCAAGGTCAGGGACAATGCTGCATGCTGTGGCTTCTCAGCTTAGGAGCTATGCTCCCAACACAGGGTCCACAGGGTGACACAGCACCTTCAAGGCTGGCCTGGAGGAGAGCCAGGCAGCCAGTTAGGACGGGCCATTCTGAGGGCCGTCGCGAGCACCATCTTCTGTCTATTGCTCTGGGCTGGCCAGCAAGCCCGACAGCAGGGGCGAGTGGGGTGGCTGGAGCCAAGGAACTGTCTGGCACCAGCCCTTCCTGACCTCTCTTCAATAATGCCTCTGCCCCCTTGCCGGGAAGGTGACTTGAGACCCTCGGACCGGGAGGAGGCAGAAGGCCTAGCCTGCCACACCAACCCTCCAGTAGACGGAGGGACCCTGGCTGCTTGGCTAGGGGCCCCAGCCCCCTGCCAGGAGCTTTGGGGGCTCTGGGACATACCTGTTTGGCGACAGTATATAGATGACGCCACCCAGCTGGGGGACCCAGGCCCATTCACAGTCCCTGCGCTAGAATCCTGCTGGCAACCTCCAGAAGCTTCTAGAACAGGGCTCCTGCCATCCTGCAAAGCCCTGCGCCCTGGTTGCCCACCCCTAGCGCACTGGTTCCCGAGCACCATTTGAATTGGCTCCAGTGTGGGGCAGGTGCCCCCAGCTGTGGGGCTGGAGGGCAGCGCGGCTGCCCAGAGGGACCGGGCGGGGAAGTGCGGCCAGCCCTGGGCGTCACCGCTCCTGCGCACTTGAATAAATAAAAAGGTTTTCCCTAGGTTTCCTTTCTTCCTTCTTTTTAGTTCACTGTGCGTTATACGATCTAAAAATAAATGGTCAAGTCTATGAAATTTATAAATCTTCATCTCTATAAAATACTGTCACTCGTGAGCGTGACTCTGTACAGACACCAGGCACCCTCACTGCCCCACGTCCCCGCTGCCGCACCACCCACGAACCACACGCTTCAGTGGACTGTGGCAGGAGCCCACTGTGAGCAAAGACATACAAGGGTAAATGCACATTTCCACAACCGCTCAAGCCGTCGGGAGTCAGGTACCAGACCTTCGGCACAAGCTCCAGAGTGGGGTCCCCTCCCCATGGCTCCAGGCTGTGGCATCGCCACACAGGTTCGGGAGGGCCACACCGTCTGCGCCCAGCTGGCCGGCCGTTCCTATGCCAAAGGCGCCCATCCTTGGACTCAAGGGCCGGTAGTCTTGTCGGAGCTGTTCACAGTGACGGGGTGGGCGGCCGGGCGCCCCCTTGCGGGGAGGGCCTTTTCTGAGGGGCGCCACCACACAGCAGACGCCCTCCGCCGGGGTGGGCGTGCCTTTGGTATGGGAAGAGCGGCGGGGACGGACGGCGCACAGTTCAGGGGCCAGTTTTGGCGTTGGTCCACCTCGAGTCAGCACCAAGAGGACGCGGGGGCGGCGAGGCCTGGCAACAGGATAGCACCGGGGCCCGCGGTCGGCGTCTCGCTGGCGGGCCAGTTCTTCGGGCCGATGTCCGTATATAGATCCAATCATATATAGTATTTACACTTCTCAATAGGTTGCCTTTATGACTTCGGTGGAATAAAATAAATCAAAATTGTTTATACTTTTTAAAAAACGATAAATACTTTATCTAAAACTATGAACAGTACGAGCTGGAGCCGAGCCCCAGCACCCCCACGGTCCGTGCAGCGCTGATCACAGTAGAGCCTTGACATCTGTCCGCTGGTCCTGGCCGCCCACCCCGTGCTTGCATAGGTCTCGCAGTTGAGGTAGAAATCCTAGTTACCTGCAGAGCCAGCGTGGGAGGAAATGCAGCATAGCATTAGCACTTGGTCCCCATAAGCCCTGACACTCCCCGGGCCAGGGAACCAAAGCCGCCTACAGACAGACAGACAGAGGGATGGACGGAGCATGGTGGCTGCAGGGCCCAGGCCACGCCCCTAGTCCACTCAGAGGTGGGAGCTCCAAGCCGTGCGAGGCCCTCCTGGCCTCCCTCCTCCCGAGGAGCCCTGGAACTGAGATGCGCCCACCTAACCCCCGGTCATGGCTCGAGGGCACTGCTGGCCGCCCAGCCCACGGTGACTGCCCTTGACACCGCTGCAGGAGGGGGCGGGCAGCTGCCCACTGAGGGCCTGGATGGGAGCCTGACACCAAGGTCTCCCCGTGCACACCGCAGACTCCTCAAGCCTACACAGCACGTCTGGTGGCAAGAGGCCACTTTGTGCTGAAGCCCTCTCTACCTTCCAGGCTTTCCCGACAGAACAGACGCACAGCTGCGCCCACACCTCAGCTGCTCTGCACTTGACCAGGAGGCCACCACACGTGCTCCCACTTAACGCTGCAGGCGGCTGGGGACAGCAGGATCTGTGCCTGCCCCAGCGCCTCGCTAGCACCTGGCCTCCTTCCAGACCTCACCCTGGACGCCCCTCGCCCCAGGGGACATTAAAGCACCCACAGAGGCCAGGCCAGCTACACCAGCAGCCCAGCCCCAGCATCGCAGCACAGCCAGTCAGGGAGCGGAAAGGGACCTCCTGAGGCCTCACAGCCACCTTCCTGCGCTGCCCTCAGCTGACCCTACAGTGCCGCGCGCCAGCCAGCCACCTTCCTCTGCGGCCAGCACCGTGCTTACCCCATGACCCGGCAGCCCCGGTGCATGTAGGTGGGGGCCTGCACACAGGGACCTGAACCAAGGAGCCCAACGGACCACCACCACCCTCTGAAGCCCTACTATGTGCCAGGGGCCTTACACGCATTACGTCTGCCTAAAACCGTAGAGGCGCAGTCACGGAAACAGACTAGGAGGCCCAAGGGCACAGATGGCCAGGCTGGGATGCCCAGGCACCTGGCTATGGCTGACACAGAGCCTACGGGGCCAGTAAGCTCAAGCAGGGCTGGACGTTCCCCTGTACCCCTGCCCACCGCCTGGAGAGACATCCCAGATCTGCTGGCTCCCTGGGCAGAGGCGGCCTCAGGGATCTGGTGTGAAGGGCCGGCCACTGCCTTCAGGTTTTACGGTGGTCACCCCGGCCTCCCGACTCCCTGGCTCCTTCATCCTCTGCGATTCTCAGACCGACCACCTCCACCCGCGGCTGTAGCAGAGCAGCCTCTGTCCCCCAGGGCCCCGGCGGAGCCCTACAGACCCGCCTGTCTCTGGGAGAGGAAGGACAGCTCAGGTTCTCGAACGGGATGCCTGGCTGGGTGCTGGCCTTACCTTACAGAATACGAACAGCTAGCTAAGCAAGGTCTTTATCGCGGCTTAACCCCCGCAAGGCGCGCGGCATATGGAGGTGGCATGCCAAGGGAAACCCATACGGCGGGCGGCCCCGTGGAGCCGGGCTGCGGGGTCCCAGGGGCGGCCCGGGCCAGGGTCAGCCCAGGCAGAGGCTGCTGGTGCACCGCGAGGTGGGGGCGGGGGGCCTTGTGCGGGAGGGAGGCAAGCTTGATGGACAGAGAGGCGTTAGCAGGCGGCAGAGAGGCGGCAGAGGAGGCGGGCGCGGGCAAGAAGGCCGGGGCGGCGGGCAGGGGCGCGAGGCTCTGCAGGAGCGCCGGCTCGGAGGGAGCCGGCAGCAGTGCGGGGGCGCGCGGCCCTGCGGGGGCCCGGCCTGGAGCTGGAGGGGGTGGCCGCGGCTCCACGCAGTGCGGGGCCTGAAAGTTAGAGGCGGGCGCGCTGGCCACCGCCTGCAGTGGGGTTAAGCTCAGCGTGGCGCTGCGACACGCAGCCCCGCTGCCGAAACTGGCTCCAAACGGATGAGTGGAGGCGGAAGGCACCGCGTGGTTAAAGACACCTGAAACAGGAGAGAAAAACTCGGCTTCAGCAGGTGGCCCTCCCCAGGGAGGCCCAGAGGAGCGCAAGGAGGGAGGCAGACAGGTGTGGCTGCACGCGGGTGCGGGCACACAGCAGGTAGCAAGCGCAGGCGGCCAGGCGACTTACCTGCAGGCGGCTCCAGGCCCCCCCGGGTCCCCCACTTCCCGGCAGGCCTGCCGGGCTCCCGGCTGCCAGCAAGGGCTGGCCTGCCTGCACCGGCAAGGAGCCGGCGTCGGGCGTCCAGGGCCCCACGGAGAGCCAGCCCAGGCTCCACTCTGTCCGACACGGCGCCACCGTGCGGCAGGTGCTCGCAGCCACCTGCTTTCCCCAGCGCCAGCCCCCAGGGCTGCCCCAGAGCCCGTGGGCCGTATCAGGTCTGATGAGCGCCCTCCACGTGGAGGAAGGAAAGTAAAGCCCTCTCCTGAGGGTAAGGGGGACACCGTCAACCAGAGAGCCTGACACAGGCCGACTCACGCATGAGCGCTCTGCCCGCACCAGTCATGGCTGCATGTCATGGACAGGAGCGAGGTGGCGAGTGCAAAGTGGACCTGGAGGGACAGGCAGGCCCAGCCTCTCACCCCTTAGGGGCTCTGGAAGGGAACCTGCAAAGCAGCGGCGGTTAACCCGGCGGCCCCGGGGGCGGCGACGGCGCGGCTTGGTGTCTCCTACCCCAGGGCAGGCCCGCAGCCCGGTCTGGCGGGCGAGACAAGCGGCTGCCTACCTCCGACTGTGCCGCCCGCCACCCCCGAGGGAAAGCTGCCTATGGCGTGCGAGTTGGTCAGTCTGGTTGTGGCGGACGAGACGTGCACCAGCCCGGCGGCAGCTGGCACAGAGCTGAACAAGGACTGAAGCACAGATGAGCCCAGGTTGGCCTGCAGGGACATGGGGCCCAGCGCGAACTGCGGACCAGGCGCGAAGGAGCCCAGGAAGGGCCGGTGCGTCTGCGCGGGGGGCGCCACGCTACTCGCCGGGGCTGCCACCGTGGCAAGGCCGGGGTTGCTGAGGAGGCCCCCGGGAGGCACGGCAGTGGCGGAAATGAAGAGGTTGTGGCCGTTCTTGAAGTCGGGCTCCCGGTCCCGGCTCCTGCCTGTTCTGCCGTGCCCGAGAGGTGCCCTGTCCGAGGGCCCGCACACGGGCAGGCCCAGCTCGCCCGCCTCCCTGCTCTTGCCGCCCTCGGCCTTCGGGCCACCGAGTCCGTCCAGCTGCCTCTTGTGCACAAAGGGGCCGGGCTCCGTGGTGCCACCCTCCTTGCCCCGTGGGGCAGGAAAGCTCGAGGGGGCACCCAGGCCGGCCGGCTCGGGGGCCTTGTGGGACAGAGGAGCACCATCACTGAAGCCGTGTAAGCTGAGGTCGGTGGCCAGGCCCCCGCTGAAGGCAAAGCCGTTGGGAGGGTTGCTGCTCGGGCTCAGCCCGCCGGGCCCCACCAGGGTGCCCGGAAAGCTCTTCCTGGGGTGGGCAGCCAGCTTGCCATCAGTCGAGCAGGGCTCCTCCAGGGGGGGCCGGAAAGCAAACAGGGAGTTCTGGCTCAGAGCGCAGCCAGCCTGCAGCGGGCTGTCGGAGGACTTGGCCAGGCCGAGGTCAGAGATGGGAGAGAAGGTGGACTTCCACTTGCTGCTGTTGACGGGCTCACTGGCAGGCGCCGGCTTCCTTCCCACCAGGCCGCCCCCTGATGAGAGAGGCACAGGCCGTGGGACCGGGCACCTGCAAGGGCCTTGGGGAGTGGGAGGAAGCTGCATGGGATCCGCTCACCACGTCCCCAGAGAAGCCTATTTCATCCCCTGCGGCCTCTCCAGGGGGCACTGGGGCAGGAGTCCTGGGGCCCGCCCCTCTGGGGGGCAGGCGAGTGGGCTCACAGTGGGACCCAGTGGTGGCACCGGAAGAGCCTCGACCCGTGCCTGGCAGCACTGACGCTGCACTGCCACGGGGACGGCCTGCAGTCGCCATGTCTGTGGGGTAGCACCCAACACCACTTGGGCAGTTCCAGAAGCACAGCATGGCTCCCTCACCAGTCTGGGGTGGGAGCACCATCACTCACCATTTTCCAAGGTTTTCGGAGGAGATTTGCTTTCTAAGGAGATGGTTGCAATTTTCCTCTCAATTCTATCAAGGAAAGAAAAGTAGATGAGTGTCAGTGGCTTCAGAGGTACCACCCACCACACTGCCCTCCCTCAGATCTGAGAGGCCCCGGGGCACCATGCGGTGGCCCCAGAGCTGCCCGACGCTGTGCGTGTAAAGGCACAGGGCTGAGGGCTCAGTCACGGCAGGGGTACAGGGATGGCATTTGCTAACACGCAAAAGACGCGCATCCCAGATAGAACCATCTCCGGTTGAGGTTTTCTCTCTGGTTCTTTCTGCAAACTCGGATACTCCCTACAGAACACCAGAACCCGCAGCACGTCCTCCCGCTGTGCGGGCCCGGAGCACACCGCAGTCCCAGGCCCGAAGGCGCTGTGTGCTCTGTGTGCCAGCAGTCCCACCGCACAGCCCCGCGGCCACCGGGGCCTGCAGAGACAGGCCTCCAGATGGAGCCGGGGAACTGCCGAGCTGGAGCCCCCAGTGCGAGGAAGAGCAAGTGCTAAACATTTTAAAGTGTGATTTATGTCTGCGGAGGAGGAACAAGATGAAACGACTTAGACAAGAACCAAAAACACAGGCAGCAGAAGACAACACAGGCAGGACACCACCACCATCCAACGCCTGGGCCAAGGTCGCCATGGGAGAGGCGGCCGGGCACGGGAAGGGGGGGCCTGCGGACTGTGTGTTCAGACACAAAGAGCCTTCACAACTTGACGGCCCGCTGCAGAGGGGGCTCAGGGCTGCGCGGCCCCCCAAGAGAAGCTGCACAGGCAGCCAGGCAGCACTTGGCAGAGCCAAAGCCAGAAAGACACCCTGCCTCACAGACCCGAGGGCGGCCGAGAATGACTCACACCGCCCAGGACGTGGGGAAGCCTGACGCTTGCATATGGCTGGCGGGAATGTGAGACGGCAGCAGCTGTGGGGCGACTTGGCCGTTCCGCACAAAGTTACACGTGATGTTACTAAGGGACCCGGCAGCTCCACGAGCTCTTCAAAGAGAAACATGTATGTGAACATTCACAGCAGCACGACCTACAACAGCTAAAAACTGGAACCCCAAGCGCCCATGGACAGACGGATAACCACGTGGTCCGTCGACGCACTGGGGTATCACTCGGCCTTAACAAGGAAGGACCCAACACCTGCAACAATGTGGGCGGACCTTGAGGACATGGTGCCCAGTGGAGTAAGCCAGACACAGGACAGAGCCCGTCTGATCCCACTTCTAGAAGGTTCCCAGAGAGCCACATCCACAGAGACAGAAAGTGGTTGGTGGAGAGTCAGTGTTAAGGGGCATAGGCTGCTTTTGTGAGGTGATAAGAACACCCTAGGATTAAGAGCACGAAGTGTGCATGACCTGTGAACACAGCCAGGGCTGCATGCCTGAAGCGGGCAGTGCGGCATGAGTCACATCTAATAAAGCCGCCATCAACACAGCCATTGTCCTTCGCAGACGGAGACAGGCAGGAAGCAGGGAGAAGAGGCAAAAGCCCCAGCGCCCCAGGCTCTCTCCTGCATGGCCGACTGACCCCTTCATCTCTTCTACCCAAGCGACATGCACACAAGTGACCCAACAGCTCATGGCTGCTCTGGACACAGGCTCCTGGCCGGGGCCGCCGGTGGGACGGCAGGTGTCAGGTGGGAAGATGCCCTCGGACAGCCTGGGCCCTGCATGAGTGGACTGGCTTCTCACCAAGTGGTGGGCAGGCTCAGAAAACTGCTCAAGGACAGCACCGAGAGACACTGACGGCAGGTGAGGGAGAAACCCCCAACATCAGGACCTGGCCCCACAGCCCACGGCTGGCCGGCCCCACGTAGCCCCACATGCCTGGCGCTGCTGGGCTCATCCTCAGAGCCCTGCTCCTCGTCCGAGGTTGGTGGGGAGCAGTGGGCCCCATTGCTCTGGCCCAGGGGCCTCTCCTTCTTGAGCACGGGCGGCTGGTCGTCGTCCTGGGAAGGGACAGGGGAGCTCTGCAGGCTCTCAGGGGACGAGATGGCAGTGATCTCCAGAGGCTGGTTAATGTTGCTGACCTGGGGGATCAGCACACAGCACAGGCCCTGTCACCGGGCTCCCAGGGCACCGACACCCAAGGGCGCTGCTCAGGGCCCTCCTGCCCGAGCCACCACATCACGGGAAGGCCGCATGCAGCCCTGCCTATCTCGGCTGGGCCAGGCGGGCTCCCCTGTACCTCCCGCCTCCCCAGCCAATCCTGGACTTACCATGGAGTTGAGGTTCAGGGGAGACCCTGAAGACTGCGTGAAGAGGCCAGCAACAGATGGCAGGGCCCGGCGCTTGGGGGACACACCTGAGCTCAGGCTGGGGGTCCCTGCTGATGCCCGCTTCCTCCTGCCCCGCTTGCGGCTATCCTGCCCAAGGCTCTGGCCACTGTCTCCGCGAGCACCCGATGGCAGAGGGCTGTGCTTGCTGGGGGGTGGCGGCCTGGTGCCGCCAGCGGCCGTGCCAGTGAAGATGACCCTTCTCTTGACTTCGCTCTCTGGGTCCGAGAAGCCAGCTTCGGGAACCAGGTCCCCTTTGCTGGAGTCTAGGAGCAGGCCCTGGGGGGCGCTGCCGAGCCGGGGGCTGGCACAGAACTGGTGGGCAGGTGAGGCTGAGCCAGAGTTGCGGGGCTGCACTAGCAGTGGGGGGTGCTGAGGGGTGGAGCTGTGGGACCCCACAGGAGTGAAGAGGCCTCCCGAGGTGGGGGGATCATCAAAGGCTGCAGGCTCAGCTCCGGGAGGAAGTGGTGCCGGGCTGCACGACAAGGCCCCGCTGATGGCCATGGAGCCGGCGTAGGAGAAGCCTGCAAGGGAACGGGGGCTCCTCAGGGGGCCGTTCCAGGAGAGGACGGAGCCCAGCTGAGGACAGCGTGGCCAGGGTGGCGCTGGTGAATAAGCTCAGGACCCAGAGCCACACACCAAGGGACCCACAGGCTTTGAGACGCCCACCCAGGCTCGCGTGAGGATGGGTCAGCTCCCAGGTGCTGGGAACCAGAACCCAGCTAGGATGTCACCTACAGGCTGCAGCACGCTTTCCAGGCTGACATACAGCCTGCCCACATGCACCCACACCAGGACAGCCTGGCCAAAGGCTCATGGGTCACACCGAGGGCCCTGAGGGCGTCCTGGTGCAGGGCTGGCTGTGCTGCTGTGCCCAGACCCCACGCCAGGAAGAGCCGGGCTAGCTCTGAGCCCATCCTGGCCCCTCTGCGGTCCTGGCTCTGGCCCTGCTAACACCACCCAGCCCGGGCGGGCCTGGGAGCAGCAATCCTACCTGCAGCTGCCAGGGCAAGGCTCTTGCTTCCGGCACCGTGGGCATTAGCAACCAGCTGCTTTTCAAGTGCAGACGACTCTCGGGTCTGCGGCACTGGGCTGGGAGTGCTTCTCTGAAGAGAGGAGGTGCACACTGTCGGCTGAGCCAGGGCCAGGGGGACGAGGTCATGGAGGCCAGCCTGGGCCTGAGCCACAGGACAGGCAGAAGCAGGCAGGCGCAGAAGGGGCAGACCTGCTTGGGGTGTGGGCTCGGGGGCAGCCACCAGAAGGCTCTGACCGCACATGGGACAGATGCCTGACAGGGTTCTAAAGATCTCTGGCCAGCAGTCACGTGTCAGGCTCAGGGTGAAGGGAGCAGGGAGGGGCTGCAGCTATGAGGGGCCCAGCAATTCCACCCTGCATGGAACATGATAAAAACAGTCCACACAAAACCTGTGGCACACATCCACAGCAGCAGTGGGGACACGTATCCATCAACAGGCAAACAACACACGTCCACACATGGAGCACTGCGTAGCCACGGAAAGGAGCAGAGCCCTGCCCCACACCACACGTGGAAGGACCCTGACCACACGGCACTCAGTGAGACACTAGACACACAGGCCACACAGAGTGGGACCCCATTCCTGTGACACGTTCACAACAGGCGAGTCCACAGACAGAATGTGGGCCTGTGGCTGCTGGGGGCTGGGGAGGGGGCAGGTGACTGCTAAGGAGATGGATCTTATTTTGGGCAGTGGGATGTCCCGGAAAGAGACGCGGCGGTGGCGCAGCTCTGTGGGTGCACCGAGGTGTGTACCTCATGGGGCCAGCTGTGGATCCCATCTCACCCAAAGTGGACGAAAGCCCACGCAGCGTGCGGGTCAGCTTTTGCTCCTCCCGCCCACATGTGTGGCCTCACACAGGACAGGCCTGAGAGAAAATCTGCAGACGCCGCCGGGATTGACTCTGGCTTCTAGACGTTCTGTTTCTTGGGGTTTCACGGTTTGTTCAAAACTTGCCAGCATGTAACTTGGCAGAAGGTGCTGCCATGGGCAGGAAATGCACCTCCTGACCTGCATGGGTGGCCCTCCTGGTCACTCACCACTTTCTCGGCACGGCTGGGCAGCACCACGCTGGCCAGGGGGATGCTGACGGGCAGCTTGCTGGGCTGCACAGTGCTGAGCGGGATGCTGACCGGCAGGCTGGTGATGGCTTCCCCACTGCTGGCATAGGCGCGCTCCTTCACACCCTGCAGACACAGCTGGCCATGACCCTGGGCCCGAGCCCCCTGGGGAACCTGGTAATGATGCCACAGGCCGGGCCCACCCCACACGGCCCATACCAGGCTTTCCCACATGGTCAGAGCTGCTGTGTCATCGCGCCCGCGTTCTGCCTCACAGGGGCCCTGCACTGGTGCTGCCCTCCTACTCTCATCCGCTAGCCGGGCAAGGACACCAGCAGGGCCAGGTCCCCCCCGCTGCCCTTACCTGCTGGCCCCACCCCATCCCCTTCACCTGGCCACCCCTGCCAGCCTCCTGGCTCAGGACCCGCCCAGCACCCCCAGCAGAGGAGGCCTGCCCTCACCTTCTCACCACTCCTCTCTCCAGCCATCTGCAAGGCCCCGGGGGACGAGGGCCGCAGGTCCTGAGGGCTCAGCTTGATGCCGTTGGCCAAGCCAGGGCTCTGGTAGAGAAGGCCATTCTCCTTGGCGTGCTCAGCTCTGCAAGGGGACGTGTCCCTTGGTCGCCGTACAAGGAGCCCCTCCAGCCAAGAGTCCACTCTCAGAGCTGGCAGCCTGGACCCAGCTGGCCCCACAGACCCTCCAAACCCATGAGTTCCCACTTAAAAGACGCCCCCAGCCAGCAGCCAAGGGTGCCAGATGCAGACTGCACAGGCCCCGTGCTCACCGTGCGTGCAGCTCACCGGCAGCCACCTTGCCACCGGCAGCATGGTCCTGGCTCAGGTGCCGCCGCAGTACCAGCTTGGCTGGGGAGAGCCTGGTGTAGTCGGGCAGAGCCAGGCTGGACAGCTTCTCGAGCCTGGGCCTGCTGCCGTGGCTAGGAGTGCAGGGCACGACCTCCTGGTCCAGGGGGGTGGCCAGGTGCTGGGGGGGGCTCTGCTTGGAGGAGGGCCGGCTCAGAGTCCCGCAGAGCTCGTAGCCGGCCGCGCGCCCGTTCATAGAGAGCTCTGGGCTCATGCTGCTCAAGGGCGGCGGGGGGAGCGGGGGGCAGTCCCGCTCCAGGTGCAGCCGGCCCGGCCCCGCCTCCAGCTCCCGGCCCAGTACGCCTTTCCCTCGCAGGCGCGCACACAGCGCGTCGTCAGGTGGCGCACAGGACTTGAGCTGCAGGAGCTCCTGCTGCCGCTGGCTCTTCTCCAGCTCCACGATGCTGATCTTCAAGGCAAAAGGGGGGCGTCAGGCTGCCCCTGGGAGGGGGCTGCTCACACCTGCTGAGGGCCAGACCCCAGGGGCTCCGCCGAGAGGGACTATCCTGGGAAAGCGCGAAGGACGCCCACCCAGGGGCCCGCCGCCCAGACACAGGTCCAGAAGCTCTGGGCAACCACACGAAATGGCAGGCGGGCATCCAGTGAAGCTCTACAGGCACACACACGCGCTGACCCAGAAAGACGTTCCGCGGGAGGCAAGGACGGGGGACAGGAAGCCTGTTCCTGCTGACGTGCTTTGTCTGCAACCCTCCTGACAGTGTCTCCTGGGTGGTCAGGATGCCAGGCACCCTCTACCCCATAACGAGCGTGCATCGCCCATAACACCTCAAGGGTACTCCCTCACAGAGACTTCTCTCACAGGCACATCTGTGGAGGCAGGGCCTGGCTCTGGGAGCAAGGTTGGCGGAACGTGTTTACAACGCACGCTGCTGGTTCGGCAGGCAGGAGACACCTGGGCCTCGATCCTTCAGCAAGCAGCTTGATAAGGGGCGCTGGGATCTCGAGGTGCTCCCAGCCCTACTTCGGGAAGTATGTGTTTAACTTCCTGAACACAGGCGTGCAGAGGAACTGCAATGTCGCCTGTGGTGATTAATCACTTGAGAGAATCCCGGGGGTCCCAACGGGAAAGTTGGTACAACCTATGAAGCCCCACCCAGTGCTCCGGGGCCATAGCTTTCCCAAGCGGGCGCTGCAGGAGCTGTGGACTGTGCGTTGTTTCTCCTAGTGTGACTGCAGCCGAGTGGCTGGAGAGGCCTTGTAAGGGTCAGGCTGGCACATTGGGCCACCCTCCTCCCCACACCTTCTGCTGACCTTGCTGACCTGTCACCCTCACCAGAGTAAGGGCGGCTCTGCCAGTCACCGTCACAGATGGCTGCTGGGAGGTGCCTGGCATGCAGCCCTGGGACGCAGGCCCGTGGCCCGAGCCGGCTCCCACAGCCCCAAGGCCCTCCACGCCTGTGCCAGCCCACCTGCAGCTCCAGGCAGTGCCGCTGCTTCTCGGAGATCTGGCTGCGCAGGGCCTGCTTCTCCTTCAGGAGGCCCTCCAGGGACAGCGTGGACCAGTCCAGCCTCAGCTCCTCGCAGCGAGCCTTGAGCTGCAGGGAGGGGTGGGGGCTGCTGAGAGCCCCGGCCAGGAGGCCCCTGCTGGAGCACGCGTGGCCGTGGGGACGTGGGTGGGGCCCAGTCCGCCTGCCGTCACGACACGGCTCTGGGTAGGGTCCCCAAGGGCCTGTGTGCTGGAAGCACAGGACGAGCTCTGAAAGCCAGGCTGAGGGGGCCAGGCGAGGGGTGCCTGCAGGGCAGGACAGATGTGGGGCCCCTCAGAGAGCCTGGCCTGGGGAACTGGGGATGGGGAAAGCCCATCTAGTGAAAACTGCAGAGGCTCCGGGCGCCCTGTGATCAGGAGAGCCCGCAAGGGTGCCAAAAACGAGCTGGCAGGGTGGGCGCCGCAGCGCAGGGAGGGGCCGCACGCACCAGCTGCAGGCTCTGGGCCCTCAGCTGCCGGGTGTCCTTGTCCAGCTGCGCTGCCTGCTCCCTCAGCTGCTGGTTATGAGCCGAGATCTCCTTCTGTGCTTGAATCAGGTCATTGTAGGTCAGAGCCTTCACCCCCAGCTGAGGACACAAGACAGCAAAGTGGGCATAAGGCTGGGCATGACTGGCTTAGTCCCGTCCACACAAGATGGGAGGCGGCCACGGTCCCGCAGGGAAGGGAGCAGGGAAGCAACTCCAGGACAGGAGCCTGCGCGGCCTGTTCGGGCCGCACGGGGAGTCGGCCACTTCGCCAGGAAGCCTTTCAAAGCAAGAAGCAGCCGAGCGGAGACAGTGCTGCGGTCCCCACGGAGCTGAGCCCCAGCCCCACGCCGGTCGCACGCGGGGCAGGGCCCGGGCGGCACACTGGCCGCTGCACCCCTACCTCATCCAGTTTCTGCTGGAAGAGCCTCCTGATCTCCTCCTTCTGGGCCTGGCAGTGCCCCAGCAGCTGCCGTGCGGCACCCAGCAGCTGGGCGTTCTTCTCCTGTGGGACGCAGGATGCGGCTGGTGACGGCCAGCCCGGGAGGGCCCGCCTTCCCTCGGGCTGGCTCAGCGCAGGGCTGTTGGGCAGGAGGCCGAGGACCCCGCCCACTCAGCGTGCGCACAGGAGATGGCACAGGCAGCGCTCTGAGCTAACGATTCACGAGGAGCCCCCCACCCTCAGAGAAACAGCGTGTGCGCAGCGGGCGGCGGAGCGGTGCTGGTAGCTGGGCCTGACCCCGGGGCTGCTCCCGCGCTGCGGGGGAGTGCACCCAGGTCCAGGAGCCGCCCAGAGAGCCTCTCCTGCCCACGACGTGGGTGACAGAGGGACCTCTGAGCGGTCACAGCAGGGCCTGGGCCAGCTGCACGGCCGAGTGGCCGCCTGAGAGGAGTGCGCTATCTGCCAAGTGAGCGGGGCGGCCGGTGCAAGGCAGGCGGGGCAGGGCCGAGCTCACCTTCTCCTGGCCCAGCAGCTGCTGCAGGGTGGCCTTGTACTGCGGGGTCTTTGTGTACGCCAGGAACTGCAAGTACTGAATCCTGAACGACTCTGCGAGGGGCCAGGGGACACAGTTTCAGCACCGAAGTGACCCGAGGGTAAGAGGAGGCCCCACCGGAGCCCCCCCGGCTGCCACCTGCAGCTGTGTGGTACCCCGGTCCCTGTGCACCGCCTGCCTGAAGCCCTCTCGGCAAGAGGCCCGCCCCAAGACTGTGTGGGATATAGTTAACCGATCTGCCAGTTTTCCAGTGAATGTATGCTATTGATGTTAAAAGGGGAACCCACAGCTCCCACCACCTCAAAGTGGTTTCCTCCCCAACTCCGTTTTCAAAGACATGACAGCCAGCTGGACCCAGCCCTGAAACGTGAGCTTGGCTCAGCAGGACAGGGCCCTGCTCCCGCGTGCACAAGCTCACCCGACAGGGCATCCTGGGGGCAGCGGGGGAGCAGCACCCTGGCCTGCCCACTCGCTGCCAGGGGCTCCCCAGTGTGACGACCACACAGGCCCTAAGCTGAAAGCTCCCATGCCACCGGTTGAGGGTGGCCCCTGGTGTGCTTGGCCACACAGCCTAGGGGCTCGCTTGGGGAAGAGCGCGCGACCCTGCCCTGCCGAGCCCGCTCACCTAGCAGCTTCTGCAGTGCGGGCGGGGTGGGCGCCAGCAGCAGCTGGTCGGGGGGGTGCCGCTGCACGCTGGGAGGTAGCTGGTAGAAGGGGCTGTGAGGTGACTTGTACACGTCTGCAGGGGACAGCAGGAGCCCGCATGCGGGCGGTGGTTCAGGGCCGCCCAGCTTTGCAGGGTAAAACGCAGACAGTCCCAGCCCCCACATGGCCAAACAGCAGAGAGAAGATCGGCCGGCTGCAGCAGGCTAGCCGGGGGGAGGGGAGGGCACTGGGCAGGCGGCTCACCCTGTGGCGTGGGCGATGCGGTCTGAGACAGGGTCTGGGCGTGCAGGAGGTCCAGGGCAGCTTGGCCCCTCCTGGGCCTGCGCTCCGGGTGTGCAGTACCCGCCTTCTTGGGGCGCCCGCGCTTCCGGCCGGCCAGCCTCCGTCCCTTCTTGCTGAGCTTCTTCTTCCGGGCTCTGGAGGGGGGCGGCTTCTTGATGGCAGTCGTCCCTGCTTTCTCCTCCTCAGCACCAGAATCCTACCGCCGTTGCGGGATTAACAGCCCTGCTCAGTGACGGCACGCAACCCAGGCGCCCGGGTGCGGGGACAGGGACACCCCAGCGCGTCGGTGGCCGCACAGCCCGCTCCGGCCGGTACTAACCGGGTCCTCTGGCCGGACGAGCCCCTCCCTGTGGGACGAGGGCCGGCGGCCCAGGTGCGGGGCGAGCGCTCACCATGGGGGTGTCCACAGGCGCCTTGGTGGGGGTGGCTGTGCTGCTCTTGCTGTCCCGCTGTTGCCGGCGCCGGGCCGCCTCTTGTTCCTCCTGGAAGTTAGTACGTGTGCACATGGCCCCAGAGACCCAGCGCCCTGGCCCCACTCACCCCGAGGTCTCTGCCTGCTGCCCCAGCATGGCTACCACTGGAGCAGACACCCCTGACCTCGGGGTCAGAAAGCAGGCACTGCCTGAGCCGTATGAGAGAATTCTAGGCAAGAAGCCCGGGGGCCAGAGGAGCTGCTGAGCCGTCCTCCCCAGCGGGTGGCCTCTGCCAAGTGGCATCCTCCTAACTGGCTACGGCACCAGCATGCAGGAGGCAGGAGGGCTCTTCACTAAGCCCGGAGGCCCCAAGAGCAGAGGGAAGCTGCTGCCTCTGGGGGGCGTCTTTGAGAGCCTCCAAAGACATTTGGACAGACATCCCCTGAGCCTTGGAGGCAAATAAGCAGGCGGCTGAGGGGCTGAATGAGGTAAGTTTTAGGCCGGGAAGAAGGTGGGTATGGCTGCCAGAGCCACCATGGACCTCAGGCCGGCTCCCCTCTTAACAGGGGTGCAGCACCCCACCCAGACAGGATCTCAGCCCACTGCGGCCCCCGTCCTCAGGCCCCAGGGCTTTGGACCAGTCAGCACCGGGTCAGCACCAGGAGAGCGGCCAGCACGCCCGCTCCGTCTCACAAGTCGACAAGGGGACACCGCGGTTCCCGGACGCCATGACCCATCTGCCCCAGAACTGCTCACGAGAAGAGTGGCCGGGCTGATGCCATGAAGGACAAGGCTGATGAGGACGGGGCCTCGGCCCACAGGCCTGTGGGACACCGCGCCCCATCATCAAACCAGCACCGCCAACCCGCCCCTCAGAACCGCCACGTCAAGAGAAAAAACACAAAGCTTACCCTGAGTTTTGGATTTTTCAGACTAGAAAAATAATTTTCAAGCTAAAAATAAAAAAGAAACAGTGGTATTAGAAGTTGGCCCCAAACCAGGATGGAAGCAGCACTGCAGGCGAGCATGGCGTGTGTCTTCCAGGTGGGCGCCCCATGGGGGGTTTGGGACCTCGCCATGCCAGAAGGACACGTTCCCACCAAGACCACCCCACAGGTTCCCACACCCAGGGCTGAGTGGACAGGCAGCAGGCTCAGCCCAGGGCCCTCCAGACGCCAGGCCTCTGACACGGAGCCCACTGTCATCACGTGTCACTCAGGACATGGGGACCGAGAGCAAAGGTGGGCGGGCAGGGCCCCTCCCGCTGAGGGACAGTGTGACACTGTCTGGGAGGCGGTGGCGCCGGGAGAGCCTGGGCATCAGGGCACTCACTATGGTGCGGTCGATCGTGTGCAGGTAGTAGGAGACTGGCTTCCCTGTCCACGACACCGAGCCCTTCAGCGGTGAGAGCTCCACAACACGCATGATGGTGCCGATGTCTGCACACAACACGCCCGGTTAGGCCCTTCCTGCACCCGACAAGATGGTGGGGGCCCGCCGTGCGGCTTCATGGCATTAACGTCCCTCAGGGTGGTGCTCCTGACAGGACCCTCGCCACACAGGGCGCCCTACCCACCAGGCCAGGAGGCAGCCGGCAGATTAGGGAGGGACACAGTGCACCCATCCAAGGAACAGGCAACCAGTCCGACTTGGTAGGATCGAAAAGCACTGGGACAATGACTTGGAAACCACAAGGCCCCTGGAATACCCAGTACCCACGGGCCAGGGGCCCGAGGCCGAGCCAACACGGCTCTCCTGGGCGGCCCTGGTGCAGTGCCAGCTGCTGCGGGCTCCCTGCCCCAATGCTTCTCCCGTCCCACAGGCACAGCACGGATGTGCAGCCTCCCCGTAAACCTCTCCCTGGGACAGGGAAGCTCCACCCCGGGGGAACGCTGGGCAGTGTCTGGGGGCGTCTGTGGTCGTCACACTGGGGGGCTCCTAGAATCGAGGGGGTGAGGCCAGGGAGGCTGCCCAGCCCCAGGGGGCCCCCCAGGGCTCTTGAGAACGAGGGCCCACTGTCAGCAGTGCCGAGGGTGTGGAGAGGGACCTGCACCAGCCCATCAGGTGTTTAAAATCACACATTAGTCACTTAGCAACACAAGAGCTTCTTACCACTCAAGTTTCTACTGTTTATTCTGAAGTTCAGAGGTGCAAAGGGCTTCGAGGAGACGATTCTGCCACCTGAAACACAGGAGCTGATTATTGCCACTCACAGGGAGGGTGGTCGCACACACAATCAGCAGGAAAGCGAAACCTGGGCGGGGGCAGTGCCAAGAGAAGCCACAGGTGCTGGCCGCATCAGGAGCCTAAACCTGAGGGGCACCTTCCCAGCTACGGCCTCTCACCAGCACCGGGAAACCCATCGGCGGGGCAAACCCGGAGGTCTGAGGCCGGGCCCCTCTGCACCATCTCCACCCTTGCACGGCTGCGTCCCAGGCCCCCAACTGAGTCTGGGAGGAGGAGCAGCCTCAACACCCGGCACGTGCCAGGCAGGGAGCAGCTGTGCGCAAAGCGGCCACTCCACGCGGCTTTGGTGCCGAGGCAGGTCTCCAGAGCCCTCCAGGAACCCCAGTTCACACACTTTACTAGGGGTACTGAGGTCCCCATCGTGACCATGTAGCTGTCATGTGCCCTGAGGAAGCACCCAAAGCAAAGGGGCAACACTCATGGGGAAAAGGGACACGCATACAGTCGGTAAGTGTTACATTAAAGTGGGGAAGTCAGGATGAGTCCATGCAAATACACTCACGCCCCCAGCCCCCGAGTCACAAACAGTGCCCTGGCACCTAGCCCAGCTCCTAAGAGCCGCCCCCACGAGGGGTGAGAGCCCAGCGCACTGCGGGGTCAGGTGGCAGCCCTGTCATGCTGGAACGAGGCTGCACAGGCCCCCTAAGGCTCCAGGAACCGCACGGCATCAAGAGCGTGGCATACAGTGATGGGCAGGGACCAAGGCCCATGCTCTAACCAAGAAAGAATCGGCCACCCTGCAGGGTCACAGGGCACAGGAGCCAGAGGGGACTCAGGTCCCTGCAGGGTGACACATCACAGTGGCTGGAGGGCTTGGTAGGCAGTGCCACCCCACCAGGTCCCTGGAGCTGGCCATGTGTTGACAAGGCACTCAGGCCTGCAGCAAAGGGGGCCTGAAGGACACGTGCAGAACGGCCATCACTGACAGGCACCAGAAGGGATGGCGGGGCCGTTCCAGACGAGAGTCGGCAGAGGCCCAAGGCAGTGTGGCCTGCCGGCTGGAGTGGAAAGCACCCAGAAGAGGTGCCAAAGGACCCGCCAGGCACTGGGGGACCAGCCCTCACCCCTCACGGGCACTGGGAAGGAGAGGCGCCACCGCCCACCTCATGGGCCCCCACACGCACTGACACCCACACACAGGCACGCCCACCCACACAGGTGTTGGTGCCAGGCAGTCGGAAACCACGGGGTCTGTTTGCTTGAATGTCACGTAAAAAAGTGCAGGAGCCACCCTGCTTCTCTCCTGGCAGTGGGAGGCCAGGACAATATCCGGCCTCCCCAGGGCTACAGGCTGGCCACAGGCAGCAGGCAGGGAAGGCGCACGCCCACCAGGCCACCCTGGACAAAGACTGGTAGCAGTGTCTCAGAAACCTCCTCAAGCTCTGGCTGGACCCAGGGCAAAGGGTGCCCTGGGGCCACCCTTCAGGCAGGTCCTGACTGCAATGGTGCACAGGCGCCTTCCTACAGCCACAGCTGGCCTCACCATGCCCGGGGGCACCAGGGGGTGGACAGGCCACCTCACACGAGGTCACTGCCATGGCCGTCCCCTGCGACAGGGCCCACGGGGCCAAGGACCTGTCACCTTCACACCAGGACTCCCCTGCACAGGGGTCAGCACTCTAAGGAGGACCGCAGCAGGCCCTGGCCATGACCCAGGACCTGTGACATTCACCCCTGGTATTCAGGGGAGGGGCACCCAACTGGAGGTCTGGGCCCACGAGCAGGGGCTCCCCGCCATCCTGACACTAAACAGTCCCCAGCTGAGGATCCCGCGCCTGTCATAGACAGTGGGCCAGCCAAGGTGGGGGGCTCCGATCCTCCTGCAGGGAGGAATCGCCACAGCAGGGCCTGGACTCCCAGGGCAGCGAGAGCAGCTGAGAGGGGGGCACAGGGCGGAGCATGAAATCCGAACCAGCTCAGGGGACAGTCGCTCACTCCCACACGTTTGGAAGTTCTCATGGTTGGCCCTTATGAGTGCACGAGGATGCCCTGGCACAGCAAGGGGGCCTGGGTGTGTGGCACTGCTGGGGTGGCTGCACCAGAAGCATGGAGGGAGCTGCCTCCCTGCCCACCCTCTGCAACCTCAGGGCTGTGCCACATGCCCCTCCTGGGCCAAGGGCGGGCCAGGCACAGCGCACTCTCCAGGGAGTTGGGGGCAGCCGAGCCCTCCGGCCTGTCTGCCTGTGGATTGTCGAGGTCCAGAAATAAACACCCTTCCCCTGTAGGTCCTGGCCAGAGGCACAGGAGAACCACTCCCCACCGGCCCCATCATTCGGGCCAAGGTGTACGGGAGCAGGACCACCACCTGGAGCTCCAGACAGACACATGGGGAACCGGCCTGACCCCTGCGCAGAGACCTGGGCTTTCAGGCCATGGCCCACGGCCCTCCCCACAGCTGTGTGAGGAATTTTCTACGATTCTGAGACTCAGAGGCAGGGAAAGCAGCCTCTCCCCCACGCAGGTCTCTGTGGGCACACTGCTGCGGGTGAGGACAGCAGAAGGCAGCCCCGGCCAGGCAGGCACAGGTCCAAACATGGCAAGGGCTCGGAAAAAGCCAAACAAGGCAGCCTGGTCCCCCACATTGCCCTCCATGCCTCCACGGAAGGGCTGCCAGGTAACACTGGGACCTCAGTCAGCTTGAATTTCAGACACACATGAACAGCCCCTTGGCCCAGGCTGGGACAGGCTTTGCTAGGAAGTTAGTGGCTGTCTGTGGGAGATTCAACTGGACCGGACAGCTCGGAGCTCTCCTGCTGTCTGGCTACCCACCCAGGCCCCTCTCGCAGCCAGAAGCTCCACCTGAGCAGGGTGGGGGTAAGTCCACTTCCATCCGCGCACCAAGCTGGGAGGTGCCCAGCCTGGCCGCCCTGGTGATAAGCAGCCCACCAGCAGGACCTGCTGCCTGCCCCATCCATTGGCGCTGGACAGGTGTCCTCACTTACAATACCCCCAACACCTGCCGAGAGGCAGATCTATAGACAGACCAGGAGGATGGTTCGGAGGTGCCGCGAGCACAGAGCGGCTTTGGCAGGGCAGGGGTGGGGATACATTACCTTCCTTCATGTTTGCAAACCGCTCCTTCAGCTGGTGATCCACCTCAGGACCAAAGGCAAAGTTATTCACAAATATAACACTGCAAAATAATATTCCAGTTGAGTGAAACGAAGGCTCCATCTGCACATGTGCAGTTCCGGTGCACGCGCGCCCGCCACCTCCACCACCAGCATGGCCGCGGGCCGCCTCCAGGCCGGCCGGAGCTGTGGGCCCTGACGGGGCGACTCAGTCTCCCGTGGCCGCCAGGCTGCTGGCCTCTATGGAAAGACCAGGGTGGACTGGTGCGGGGCACAGTGCCCCAGGTGCCCCCGCAGCAGTGAGCTGCTGGCCCCACCTGCCCCTCGGATGCGCCTGGGCTCGGGTGTGAGAGCCAGAGGTGTGAGAATGCCCAGGCAGGACGCGGCATGGGCTAAGCACACCGTGTTAGGCTGGAGTCCTCCAGGAAGGCCAGGCACATCCACTGCGTTCTCAGCCGGGTCTGCTGCCAGCCAACCTGGGGGGGCGCCACGAAGCCACCCCAGCAACACGTTCTGCTCCTGCGTCCCACCCACCCGCTCGAAGGAACTCCAAGGGGCTGAGCTCTAGAAACACCCACACAACTGCTCAAAGGTAGGAGAGTCCACTCTGTGGCGCACAGGGTTCCTGTCCGCCCCTCTGGTCTCCCTGGCGAAGACCAGGCTGGGTGGAGGCAGACAGCAGAGCCACGGACAGTTTGCTCCTCTCTGGGGCACAACAAGAGACCGAGTGGATGGTCAGCCCATGCTGCTTGTTTTGAATCTCAACAGCAGCCCACAGCAAGCAGGACGGGCTCCGGGCAGCACTGGGCAGGGGCAGAGCGAGGGAGACACACCAGGGGTGTGCGGATGAGCCTGGGCATGGCCTGAACGGCCACAGGGAAGCAGAGGGCACGGAGCTCCCAGCCAGGTGGAGGCGCCCTGGAGCCCTGACAGCCCTGACGGCAGGTGAGCTGAGGAAGCTCCCACAGGGGGCAAGGTGGCCTGTCCTGTCCCTACTCCCAGTGCTGGGAAGGCTGGATGCCAGAGTCTCGGGGTGGCCAAGGAGGAGGGCGGGGGCCAGCTAAGAGCCTGGGAGCACTCCTGACTCAGATGAGGACTTGGGGACGTTCACAGAGGCCCCATGTGGCAGAGATGGACGCCCTGGACAGAAGCACGGCATTAGGGTGTGCCTGGGGCACAGCGGCAGAGCCTGCTTAAGGGCAGAGCTCAGGGGCCAGGCCTGGGCCGGGCGGACAACAGGCAGAGAAGGCCTGGGGGCATGTGCTCCCATGAGCTTTTATGTCACCACAGGGCCTGCGACATGGGACACCCCAGCTTGGATGCTGCTGGTTCAGCCCGCAGGGGGGAGCCCATCACCACTACAGCAGAGCCCCAGCCTCCCGTGGGGTCAGCCTGATCCTCAGAAAAAGCAGAGAGGACCTGGCCGGGGGGACAGTGAGCCTGCTTCCTGTGTGCCTGGAACTGGTGGTGGGGTAGGGGCACCTGCAGTAGGCACACCCGGGAGGAGGGGGTGACGGACACAGCGCGAGCCCAGGAAGACAGCCCAAAGCGTCTGCCAGCCTTCCGAGCCACCCGGGCCAAGCCATGGGAGGCCCTGAGCTCCAGCATCCCTTGCCGCTGGCCCGTGAGTCCCAGCACGGGTGTGGCCACTACTGGATGCCAAGTGCGAGAGCAGAGCAACCTGGCCTCACTCCCCAGACCCCGGCCCGAGGCCAGCAGGAGGGCAGTGAAGGGCCGCAGACGCAGCCTCAGAGAAGTGGATGCTGAACCACATGCCAGGCCCCATGGAGCGGGAGGGGACGCAAGGCAGAACTGATGGCAAGCTAGGACGTTCCAGGCCAGGACGGGCAGCCCTGGCGCTCCATGCACGGGGGCTGTGGACAGACAGCCCTGCCCACCCAGACAGACCTGATGGCTGGCCCTTCCCGACAGGCAGCAGGGCTGGCGCACTGCCCAACTGCTCAGCCGACCACCCTGCCAGGCGAGGCAGCCACGCCCACCTGTCCCCCACCTGGCCGTACCTCGTGTTGGCGATCCGTTCTCTCCACTCTTCTGACAGGAAGTCGCCCCTTTCCAGCTAAAAGAGAGAAAGGAGACCAGCAGCTTACTCACACAGGGCCCTGCACCTGCCCGCCCCGCGCAGACAAGAGGGGATGAAATGGGCAGAGTCGCTCAAGTGAGGAGGACGTGCGGTGAGGCCAAGGCCCAGGCTCCTGGGGGCTGGGGACAGTCTGGGGGTACGGTCAGGTCACCACGCAGCATGCCAGAGCAGGAATGGCCAGGGGTTCACCGCCCAGCCCAGGGGACGGGATGCACGGCACGAGGACACTAGGAAGGGTGCTGAAGGGTCACGATGCCAGTCCCCGCAGAGCCTGCCGGTCACTGCCCCACCAGCTCGGCTGCTGTGGATGCAGGCTGGCCGGCAAGGCTACGGTGCCGGACTGCATGCGGCCTCACGCTCAGAGTGCCTCCCCCGGGGCCACGGAAATGAACCCCTCTCGGCTGGCCCACTGGCCGGGCACTCTGCGGGCCTGCTTGCCCGAGGGCAGGCGCATCTGCACCCCATCGCCTGTTCAGTCTTTCCTGGTGAACCAGCGCCATCCACATCCATCCCAGAGAAGACAGCTCTTGACGGCCTAACTGTCCAGAGCTGTGACATTCAGCAAACCAAGGAACAGGGCTTCTTATTCCTGACAAGCTATCATCATCTGGGGACTGGGCCCCCAGGGCTCCCGCCACCCTCTGACGGGGGCTCATGTCTCCAAACTGTTCGAGCCAACACGTGTTCACGCTGGGTGCCTGCTACCCCCTGCTCTCCCCATGGAGTTAGGGGTCTCGGTTCATGCACGGCAGAGGGCCTAGGGACCTGCCCCAGGGAGCCCCAGGTGCTGGGTCTCTGCGTGCCCCTGGGGACCACCTTGCACCCACCCCATCAGGTCCTGTCTGGGGGAACTGAGCATGTCTTGTGAGACCCACCCCGTGCCTGGGCTCATTTTACCTCCTGTCCTTTCCCAGTATAAACTGCAGGTCCTGAGGGCCAATGTATGCTGTCCTGGGGTCCTCCTGAGGTGGCCTGTCCCCTCGGAGTCTCACCTGCCTGGGCCACACTGTTTGTAGCCACAGTGCCACCAGTGCCACCACCCCATTCTGGCCTCATGCTGGAGGCAAGCGAGGAAACGGCCATGTTTGCCGGCTGCCCCACCCTACCCTGCAGTCTGCCCTCAGCCGAGGCAGGCTCAACCCTCAGGGAGGGGCTGGCTGGGGTTGCTCCGTCACTGGGGCCACAATGACATGCACAGCCATTCTGTCCCCACTGCCTGAGGGCCTGGGGGGCCCAGCCCAGGCATGTGGGTTGCGGTCTGCATGGTCGTTCCTCCCATGGGAGACCATCAATCAGCCTGTGGCTCCCAGCCAGCGGGCAGGTCTGGGGTCAGACTCGGGTGGGTGGGCACACCCCCACCCCGGGCTGCTCCACCTGCCACAGATATCCTACCAGGAGGGGCCAGCCACCTCAGGGTGGGACAAAGTGCTCTTGACATCAAGGGAGGAGCTCAGCCTCTAAGATGCGTCCGCTCCAGGGGGAGACAGAGGCAGGCCCCACCGGAAGCCAGGTGGGTGAGGGCTACCAATGGCGGGCTCTCGCCTGCCTCTCTCCAACCTGCCCTGAGCAGCCACACATGCATAGATGCAGCACTGCTCAGCTCAACTGCCAGGTCCCCCCTCTTGGCAGCGCTGGCACCAAAAGGCTCAGCCCCCCAGGGGGCTCCACAGCAAGACGCCACTGTGCCGCGGGGGCTGGGAGAGGCCCAGACTCAGCCTCAGCCTGGACGGGAGTGTCCCGGGGAGGGAGCCCTGCAGCGCTGGGTGGCCGAGCGCAGGGTGAGGTGGGGTCGGGGGTGTCCCCCACACACACCCTGGAGTGGCGCCTCTGGGCCCTGGAGGAGCCCACAGGGCTGTTTCTAGGCTCCTGCTGGCCCTGTTTCCTCTTCGGTTCTTAAGGAATGGGAGCCATCTGCCAACCAGGACGCCTGGCCGAAGCCACAGAAAGCTGCTGGGGAAGCCTCCCAAGGCGCAGGATACAAGTCCCCACCCATCCGGGCGCTCGCCAGCCAGCACTCCCCGACATGTCCCTGGGAGCAGGGCTGTGTTGACAGCACTCTGGAAACGCCAGACGGCTGCTCTGTCGGTCCTGCCGCCAAGGCCATGGCCAAGTGTCCTTTGGGGAGAATTTTGCTCTGAGCCGCCTTGCAGTGCCCAGGTGGGGAGACCCGAATTAGAGGACAGTGCCCACGCAGGGCCTCCTGTGTGCCAAGCAACACCACAACATTCAGACCCACCACTGGCTCCCATACACCTGCCTGGCCGGGTGCCGCCACCCATGGTCCCCGGAGGAGGAGGAGCAGCCGGCAGGTGGGTGGGGGACCCGGCAGACGCCATCTCCACCCCCTCCAGTCGGAGGGTCACACGGAAGCTGAGACCTAGCATCCGAGCAATGTGTGGGAGGCCACCGGGGCAACTGGGGCTATTTCTGGGAAGCATATCAATAAATACTCACACTACAAGCTTGGAACTGTCTGGCCTCTCACCCCAAGCAGGAAGCATTTTTGAAATTTAAGAACCTGTGTTTTAGGAAGTCATGAAGTCTTAGGAAAATGGTCAGCCGCCAGGCAGCTCTCAGCCGGCGCCACAGAGGGCACAAGGACTGGGCAGGAAGGAGATTCCTGGAGACGGAAACCGACTGGACGCATGCTCCTCTGTTGGCCTCACCAGCCGACCCCAGAGGACTCCAGATGTGGGAGGGGCAGGAGGGGCAGGAGGGGCAGAGGATACAGCCCCTCACCTTCCCCTGGGGGGAGGGACACCCGGAGGAAATTCCACTCAAAGGAAGGGCGGCCAGGCCCCGGTCCAAGTGAAGCAGCAGAGAAGCAGAGGGCACACCTCCCAGCCTCTAGGAGGCCAGCACCCCTGCGACGTCAAAGACAGTGCAAGAGAGGGGAGCTTCAGAGCAGCACCCCTCCTGGACACAGACACGAACACCCTCAACAGCACAGGAAGAAACCCACAGCCCGAACGGCCTACGCAGGGAACTGCACGCCACAGCCAGGCGGAACTTACCCCAGGCGTGGCAGGCGGCTCAACACATCAGCGGGCCA